GCCCTTGACACAAGCAGCCGCCTCTCACTGACAAAACAGGGCTGATGATGATCATGTCTACCTCATAGGGCTGTCGAAAGAAGCAAATGCAATTGCGTGTGCAGAGGCACTTTGGGAACTGCGGAGAGCCAGCCCAGTGAGGTGGTATTATTCCCAGAACAAGACAGTGAGTGAAGGAGAGGGCAGGGAAAGGATAAGAGCTGACATCATCTCTAGGAGCAGAACAGAGTCCAAAAAAACAAACAGGCCTGGGACCACAGCAGTCCGTGCAAGTGGGGGCTGTTTCCTTCACTGCTGTATCCCCAGAGCCTAGCCGAGTGCTTGACAAAGTAGGCACCCAGTAAATACTTTTCTGAATTGCATGACATTGAATCTTCGTGTTCCCAGTGCTTGACGTATATCGGTGCTCAGTAAATGTGTGTTGGACTCATGCACAAATCGGCAGAGACTAAAACCAGAGTGGCAGGCTCCTAGCCCAGTTCTCCATCTTTGAAACTAACACCAATTTCCATCAGACACCCACTGCCCACCCCTGAGATCAGGGGCTCTTAACCTGAGGTCCATGCATCTCCCCAAAAATTAACGTGTAGAATATAGTGTGTGTTTGAAACATACCTTGCTGAATTAAAAAAAAGTCAGATTTCTACCCAGAAAAATACTAAATAAACTCTGCTCTGAAAGATGTACATCTACCAGGCGCCCCGTAAATAGCCATCAGTTGGATGTATCTGGTCCCCAGGGCTGCCAGGTGACCAGTAGTCTTAAAAAAATTATAAGCCTCCCACTCTCTGAGATCCACATCTAGGGCCCTGTGAGCCTGCAATTTTTCCTACCACCTCCATAATGTGCAAGGCAGTTAACCTATCTTTCATATGCAAAAGTGATGATCACACATTATCCCGGGGACCTGCCTCCGGAGTGGCTGTTCTGCTGCTGGGTGGGTCTCGCAGAGCCACGCATACTCTGTCAATCTCTTACATCCCAGCGTATGCATTTAGATGTGACAGGTGGGAGTCGAGGCCTGAAACCTGAGAATCCTAACTAGGCTTCATGATATCAACTCAGAACTTTGATCTTTTTGAAAAAAATATTTTTCTCACTACAAATACGTGTGTGCATGTGTCTGTGTATGTATGCACACACATTCATATTTATTAGAGGAAATGTAGGATATGTAAATAAAATCACCTCTAATTTCACCCTACCCCCAAAGAACCGGTGTTAATACCTGGCTTTAGTCTTCCCATTTACTGTGTACAACATTTATTAAGCATTTACTGTGTGCCAAGAGTTCACTGTTCCATGCTGTATGATCTCTAACTCATGTGAACCTCTAATCTCACATCAGGTATTTGCTATCTTTTTACAGACATGTTTATACTTTCTTAATTTTTAAGGCCAGTGAGATTATACTGTTTTGTAACCTTGCCTTTCTTAGTCCATACCATCAGATTTCTTTTACCATGTTATCAAATATTCATCAGCAGAGTCATTTATAATGGCTGCATGATGTTTTATTGCAGACAAATTCCATGCTTCTCAGACTGGGGCGCATGTACCCCTGAGGGCAAAGCCACAGGATAAATGTCACAGATCTTCCTGAAGCAAAATTTGTGATTCAGAGCTTTAGGAGAGGGAAATAAAACACATTATTTTCAAATCAAGACGAGTACAAATATATCGTAGTGTAGAATGCAGAACACCCATATGTCTTAATACAGGCCAGACGCGGTGGCTCACACCTGTAATCCCAGCACTTTGGGAGGCTTAGGCAGGCAGATCACCTGAGGTCAGGCGTTCAAGACCAGCCTGGCCAACATGGTGAAACCCCATCTCTATTAAAATTACAAAAATTAGCCAGGTGCAGTGGCTCGTGCCTGTAGTTCCAGCTACTTGGGAGGCTGAGTCAGGGGAATCGCTTGAACCCAGGAGGTGGAAGTTGCAGTGAGCTGAGATCACGCCACTGCACTCCAGCCTGGGTGACAGAGCAAGACTCTTGTCTCAAAAAAAAAAAAAAAAAAATGCAGCCAAGTCCAAGATCATGTTATTCCCCATAGTTCCATATTCCCTCTCCTCTGAGGTTTGCAGAAACATATAAGAAGCGCTGAATTCTAGTTCAAGCCCTTGTTTTTACAGATAAGGAAACTGAGACCCAGGGAGAAGAAGGGCTTGCCCGAGGTCCAAGTATGTGCTCTGCAGAACCAAGGCACAGAAGCCAGGTAACCCCTGGGTCTGTCCCTTTCCACCATTCCATATTTGGCATCACCTGTCAACTGTGTGTGGGCAGAGTCCTTGCCCCTTGAGAAATCAACCCTCTGCTTATCAATAGTAGCAACTCTTGCCTTCCCACGTGATCCTTCTTTTAGCAGCAGCTTTTCCTTTTTCACCTTGCTCCCAGAATCTGAGCTGACAGCTCAGGTGGTCAGGAACTATAACCTCCATGGACAAAGGTAGATGCCCTCCCATGACCCTCTTAGGCTCCATTGGCACTTAGATTTATTGCTTAATGCACTGTATTGTAAACATGTCTTTACTGGTCTGTTTTAGCCATGAGACTGGAGCCTTTTGAAGGCAAGAATTATGTGTTAGCATTATAATCTGCCATCTATTGGGTTCTTACTAAATGCTGAACACTGTGCTAGGTGTTTCATCTGTAGTATCTAAAATATTTAAAACAGCTGCCAGGCGCAGTGGCTCATGCCTGTAATCCCAGCACTTTGGGAGGCCAAGGTGGGCGGATCACCTGAGGTCAGGTGTTCAAGACCAGCCTGGCCAACATGGTGAAACCCTGTCTCTACTAAAAATACAAAAATTAGCCAGGCGTGGTGGCGCACGCCTGCAATCCCAGCTACTCAGGAGGCTGAGGCAGGAGAATTGTTTGAACCCAGGAGGTGGAGTTTGCAGTAAGCTGAGATCATGCCATTGCCCTCCAGCCTGGGCAACCGAGTAAGACTCTGTCTCTCAAAAAATAAATAAATAAATAATATATATATATACACACACACACACACACACACACAGCTTTTCAAAGTATGTATTATCTCCATTTATCAGGCAAAAAAACTGAGTAAAAGAGTGTCATTTGCCCATCATCATTCACTCATTTAGTAAGCATTGATTGTAGCCTTACACACCAGGACTTATGCTACATGCTGTAGACATCAGGATGAACAAAGCTGATACCACTCTGCCCTCATGGAACTTCTTGGTGGGTAGAGGAAGATGATATTCAAAAATTATTTTACAACCCATAGCAAATGTAATGTAGCCTGAAGCCTATCGGACTGCCCTGGATTGAAGCCACCCTCTACCCTTACCAGCTAGGCGACCTTGGGCAGCTCTGTTAAGCTCTCTGCACCTCATCTTCCTCTTCTGTAAAATGGGGATAATAGTAGTAGCAGCTCCATAGGGGTGCTGTGAAGAATAAAGAAATTAACCCATGTGAAGCACACAAAGAAGGGCCCCTGCACGTTCCAGGCATATTACTGCTGCTGCTGCTGCTGCTAATGATGATGATGATGATGATATGAAGGAGAGGCGTGGGGTGCTCGTATGTGATACAGCAGGACCTACTTCAGGGGACGTCTGATTGAGGTCTGCAAGATGAATAGGTGTTATCTTGGCAAAGTGTGTGGGCGGCAGGGGAGGGGAGCAGGGTTTTGGAGGGATGTTCCAGGCAAAGGGAATAGCATGTCAAAGCATAGGGGGCGGGTTTACCTGAGGAACTGCAAGGAGTGCAGCTGAAAGGGGTCAGGCTGGGAAGCGGGAGCCTGTGCTATAAACATAGCCCCAGGACCGGGTTCCCTGCACCACAGTCTTGATCCAAGCCATGGGAGATGCTCAGTAAATGTTTGTCAAGTGAGCGAGCAGCTCATGGACAAACAGCTGTGTTGGGCCTACATGGTTCTGTTGTCACCCAAGTCCATTGTTCCCTATACAGCGTGATATGTAGACAGCCCCTTCCCAGCTGTCAAACTGTATACATCCATGTTTTGGTCCCTCTCTTCTTGACAGTAAACTAAATCCTGTGAGTTTGGGTGCAGACCTCCAATATCTGGGACTCACTGAGGTGACCGCAGCTAGAATCCCCATGCTGTAGCCAGGGGCTCCGATCTCAGCCAATGGTTTTCAGACTCTTTAGTAGTAGAAGTCTGCCTTGAAATAATCTTAGCGGAAATCCAGTATATGGTACAGGGACAGGCAGAGAGTCTGCCCTTGAGGAGCAGACGTAGGGCCTCAGCCTCTGTGCACCTGAGAAAACACTAGGGCTCTGTAAAGCACAGTTAGAAAAACTAGGGTTGAACCCAAACCCCATCTTCCAGGCGGGGAAACTTAAGACCCAGAGAGGGAGTGACTCTCCGGAGTCAATAGGGACAGACCCAGAACTGGCCCGAGACATCTGGTATCAATTCTGCTACACCAAGGTTTTCCTGCACTTCGCCCTAACCGCCCCCAGCCCCTCTCAGTGTGCAGGGAGTCTTGAGATGGGGTGGGGACATGTGGCTGTGGTCTTGTCAAGAGTCCGGCCTCCAGCGCATGGCCCACATGAGACAAAAATCCACCAGGCAGGCGTGGGTGGGTTGCTCAGGGTCATGGCCTGGTTATGCCGTGCCCTTTTTTTTTTTTTTTTTTTCTGCTGCTGCTGCTTTTTTAATTGAGTTTGAGGTGGTTGTTTTTTGTTTCCTTAAGAAATGGAAAAGAATGAAGCTGCGTAAATACAACTATATTAACTCCCTGAAAAACCTCCTGCCATTTTAACTCTGTTACTGGAGAAATAAAAGAGAAATAATTTGTCCACCCACACTTAGCTCTTTCTGACGAAGGTAGGTGAATATTGCTTTGCTAATCGAGGGTGACTGCTGGAAGTGGAGCCACGCTGACTGATCCCAGATTGAGAGGCAGCCACAGCCACCCCAAAAGGAACGGCCCGCCCTGGGGTGGCAGAGCCCTGCCTGTGGACAGGGCCAGAGTCATCGGCCCGCATGGCCCATCTTCCACAGGTCTCCCCCAGCCGATAGTGATGGAGGCCCTGGACGAGGCCGAAGGGCTCCAGGACTCGCAGAGAGAGATGCCGCCACCCCCTCCTCCCTCACCGCCCTCAGATCCAGCTCAGAAGCCACCGCCTCGAGGTGCCGGGAGCCACTCCCTCGCTGTCAGGAGCAGCCTGTGCCTGTTTGCTGCCTCACAGTTCCTGGTAAGGACGGCACAGGCCTCACCAGGGCCTGGAGAGAGGTGGGCGGAGGGCCAGCCTCCCACTTCCTCCCCAGATGGCCCCCTGGAAGGCAGGAGGATGAGCGGCCTCCCTGGTGTTCCTCAGGAGCTCCAAGCCCTCAAGGATGGGATGAGGGGAAGGCTGGAATTCTGAGCTACCGCATCAGCAGCTGAGACCTCACACCCTGCCTCCCTAACCTAGGAATCCGGAACACGGGGCCTCCCCGACCCCTGACCTCCCAGCCCTGCAGGGTTCTCCTGAGAACTCCTGTCTGTGGAGGCCTTTCTGGGAGACTTCCCTTTTGATGTACATATTTGTGAGGTCCTCTCTGGAAGGGGCTTTCTCTTGGTTCCCTTCAGTCAGCTTTTCTCCAAGGAGAGTCCTGAGGCCTCCCCTGGGCACACAGCAGCGGGGCCCTGCTCTCAGCTGCCCAGGCTGGACCTTAGAGGTTCAGGAGCCTCCATGCAGGGCCAGGTTGAGGCTGCAGGTGAGCTCTGCTGGGGGAACATGGGGGAAGGGGGCTGGCTCCATACTTAGCCTGCTCCCCTGTGCCCCAGCTTGCCTGCGGGGTGCTCTGGTTCAGCGGCTATGGCCACGTCTGGGCACAGAACGCCACAAACCTCGTCTCCTCTTTGCTGACGCTCCTGAAACAGCTGGGACCCACGGTGAGTAAGCTTTGGGGAGTCCTGGGGTAGCAGGGATCTGTTGGGGGCCTCTAGTCCCACCATCCCCAACCTCCGGATGGGCCTTCTCTGAGTTCGGGAGATACTTCCAAGCCCCTGAAGTTCTTCTGCCTGCTCCCCACCCCAGACCTGGGGCGCGATTTTCAGAGTCTTGGTTTTGTCATCATTGCAAGAGCTGAGAACTCTGCCCCCACCACCACCCTGACCTGTTTATCTGATGTTCCCCAGGCCTGGCTTGACTCTGGGACCTGGGGAGTCCCCAGTCTGCTGCTGGTCTCTCTGTCCATGGGCCTGGTCCTCGTTACCACGCTGGTAAGGTGCCTCCTGAACCCAGCCTCAAGGCTGTCCTCCTCTGACCTTGAGGCCCGGATTTCTACCAGCTCCCATCTGACCTACAGGCTGGACGTTCTGGGTGGGGCAAGGAGGGATGCCTATCTGTTTGCACAAGTGTGCCAGCCTGGGGCAAGAACCTCCTCCTTTCTGAAAATTGGTTTGCAGTGATCTGGGCTAAGGAAAAGGGGTGAGACGGGGAGAAGGCTGGTGTAGGAACTCTGAAGCCCCACTGAGAAGGCCTGAACCAAGAAACAGAGCTGGGAGAGGGAGGGGTGCGGAGGGAGAGTGGACATGGAGCCTCTCATTGAGGCCGGGGCAGTGCCTTGCGGACAACTCCCAGGAGAGCAGGGCTGCTCGAGACACACTGAGGGAGTGCAGGGGTGTCAATCCCATTTGCGCTCCAGGAACACGGCGGGCAGCCAGCATGGTCCCAGATCCGTGATGCTGTATACCCCAACCAGGTGTGGCACCTCCTGAGGACACCCCCAGAGCCACCCACCCCACTGCCCCCTGAGGACAGGCGCCAGTCAGTGAGCCGCCAGCCCTCCTTCACCTACTCTGAGTGGATGGAGGAGAAAGTTGAGGATGACTTCCTGGACCTGGACCCGGTGCCGGAGACTCCTGTGTTTGATTGTGTGATGGACATCAAGCCTGAGGCCGACCCCGCCTCGCTCACCGTCAAGTCCATGGGTCTGCAGGAGAGGTGGGAGGGGTGGAGGAGGGGTGGGCTCCACGGGCCCTCGAGCTCTTAGCTCCTGATCAGAAGAGTGGATGCCTGACTCTGACTCCCGGTGCCCGGGGCAGAGCTGGCCTCATAGCTTAGCCAGTGTAGACACGTGCTCTCCAGGTCATTCATAGAGATCAAAGCGCCCCAAAATGAATGCTGAGACATACTGTTACTGCACACGCACACATAGGTGTACACATGTTCACACACACTCTCCCATGCTCAAGTAAGTTTGGGTGGTTTTCTTTGCTGCAGGACTTGTCAGAGCCTTTAACGTGTTGTGTTCCTTGGAAATCAGCAAGGGGGCAGTATGTGGCATTTCCCAAAGTCACTTGACCACAGAACTCTATTTTTTCTTTACTTTTATTTTGGATTGAGGGGGTACACATGCAGTGTTGTTACCTGAGCATATCGCATGATGCCGAGGTTTGGGGTACAAATGCTCCCATCACCCAAGTACTGAGCATAGTACCCAGCAGTTAGTTTTCCAACCCTTGCCCGCCTCTCTCCCTCCCTCCTCTAGTAGTCCCCAGTTTCTATTATTGCCGTCTTTATGTCCCTGAGTACCCAGTTAGAACCCTGTTTTTATAGGGTGGCTCATAGTGTTCCACAGAGCACACTCTGAGAAGTGTAGACACCGTCTTTTCAGAGTCTAGGTGGATAAGCCAGATCGCACCACATTTGAGTTACCCATGTAATGTCATGGAACGAACACTGAGTGTGGAGTCAGGAAACCTAGCTCTTTGTTTCAGCTCTGCCACCCCCTTACTGGGAAAGCCTGGACAACTCTTGGCCCTTCATGGGGACTCAGTTTCCTCTTCTGTGTAATGAGGTCCCATCCTGTCCTGTAGTCTGAGACACTGAGTGTAGTAGAGTTTGCCCATTGCAGACATCCTTGCGGCCACCTTGCTCCTGGGACTCCCTCCTTCCTGACAGCTGAGGGTCCCGGCCTCTCCTGGACAATATGTCCTTGACTCACCAGCAGCCTCATCCCAGGACTGCTGGGCCCAGGCCTGCAGTGGGGAGGGTCTGGAGCCATCCTCTCGGGCCCAAGCCCTGCTTCTGTGCTTCAGGCAGGTGTCCCCTCTCTGAGCTTCCTGGGGACCACAGGGCAGAACTGCCTCCAGCGGTGATGGAGGAGAGTCCAGGATAAGGCCATGTTGGGTTAGCTTTGGATGGAACTTTTAGAACAGGAGCTCCAAACCCCCACTAAGTTAACATCTCCACTGCAGGAGGTAGGAGATAGGGAGTCGGGCCGATGCCTCGGGGCTGAGATTCATGCTGCTTTGACAGGGGGTTTTGTCACACTCCCACTCCTCTTCCTTGATCCCACCCTGTTCCCAGCTGATCTCTCCCTCCCTCGTTTTCCCAGCCCTGAAGACCCCAGCTCATGCCCGCCCCTGTGCCTCTGAGACTCACACTCCCTTTCCTGGTCTTTCCAGGAGGGGCTCCAATGTCTCGCTGACCCTGGACATGTGCACTCCGGGCTGCAACGAGGAGGGCTTTGGCTACCTCATGTCCCCACGTGAGGAGTCCGCCCGCGAGTACCTGCTCAGCGCCTCCCGTGTCCTCCAAGCAGAAGAGCTTCACGAAAAGGCCCTGGACCCTTTCCTGCTGCAGGCAGAATTCTTTGTGAGTTCCCTTGAGCCGGCTGCCCCACTGTGTGCAGACCCATGTCAACCATCCACCTACCCAGGTGGTGGAGCGTGGTCCCTGGAACTCAGCATCTGCCGTAGATTAGTACCACTTTATCATCAGCTCTCCCACCGTCTTGGGCAAGCTGCTTTCCCTCTGAGCTTCAGTTTCCTCATCTGGAAAATGGGGATGAAAATAATAGGATTGTTCAAAGGTTAAAGAGACTAGGAACATGTGCAGAGCACCCAGCCAGGTGATGGAGGTACAGTGACAAGGCGAAGTCTTTATTGCCCAGTGCTGTGCTTTGAAAGCCACAGAGAACCTTCGCTTCTAACTCTTCTGTTTTTCCACTTTCCTCCTGCCAAGCATTGTTCTTCTGCCTTTGAAATCTCTCTAGTCGCCTCCCCTCCTTATCACTCCTGGGGCCCTAGCTTAGGTCCTAATCACCTCCACCCTGGCTTTTGCAGCTGCCTCCTATTGGACTTTGAGGGGCTCGAATAAATGGCACCCCTGTCTACCTGCCTGAGTGCTCAGCCATTAAGAGCTAAGGCATAGGAGATCACAATATCACCTTTGTTGTCAATAAAATACAGGTTGGAAATGAGGCTTAGCAGGGTATAGCAAGAGTGAGCCTCCCGATACCGAGACCCAGAATTAGATGCACTTTCCACCCTCCACAGGGGTGCCGGCATATCTCGGACCTTGCCCCATGGGGGCACCCCTATAATTCTTTCCTGGCAGGAGGGCCCTGAGAGGAGGAGGAAGGAAGGGGCTGAGACTCAAAAGCTCCATTCCTCGACCAAATTCACCAAACAGGTAACTCCTCACTTCTGTGAGCAGGAAGAGGCGAGAGGCCGAGAATATCGGGGGCGAGTTCCTCCTGGTAGAAGCCAGAGGAGTACAGAAGCAGGCGCCTCCTCCCTCACAGCTCCCTTCCTTTGGCCTCCACCCTGGGCCTGTCTGGACCGGGTAGCTCTCCCCTGTGAGAAGACCTCCATCACCATCTGATCTGCTGCTCCAAGTTCTCCAGAACTTGGTACCACCTGCATACACCATCAGCACACCTCACCTGGTGTGGCCCCAGCCTCCTTTTCCAGCCTTATGCCCCATGCCCCACCCCTGCAGGGATGGTCCGCTTCAAACTGGGCCAGCTCCGCCTGTGCCTTTCTCCTGCTGTGCCTTTGCTCACATCATCACCCACTCCAGATGCCTCTAGAAAGCCTTCCTCGACCACCCCAGCCTCAGCTCCTGCTCTGAGCTCCCACGGCTGTCATCTCCCCTTCGAGAAAGAATCACTTCCTCTAGCTCATTTCCTGTTTGGTGGGTCATTGTCGAGGAAGGAGCGCGGCCTGAGCACCCACTCCGGGGGCAGTTTTTCTCATGTTGTATTTTTCTTTTGATCATCAAAACCCTGGAAAGCGTTATGATCCTCAATTTACAAAGCCCATACTTAGTGTGTCCAAAAACAATGAATCAGTGTGAAGCTGGGTGCAGTCAGGGACTAAGCTGGTGGGCAGACTGGAAGGAAATGCAGAGGCAAGAGGCATGGAGAGTCATCCCAGAGGATGTCAGGAAGAGACACACTCAGAGGTGAAGGGTTTTTTTTCGTTTTTTTTTTTTTTTTTGAGACAGAGTTTCACTCTTGTTGCCCAGGCTGGAGTGCAGTGGCGCGATCTTGTCTCACTACCACCTCCGCCTTCTAGTTCCAAGGGATTCTCCTGCCTCAGCCTCCCTAGTAGCTGGGATTATAGGGGCCTGCCACCATGCCTGGCTAATTTTTGTATTTTTATTAGAGATGGGGTTTCAACATGTTGGCTAGGCTGGTCTCAAACTCCTGACTTCGTGATCCGCCTGCCTCGGCCTCCCAAAGTGCTGAGATTACAGGCATGAGCCGCCACACCCAGGCAGAGGTGAACTTTAAAGGGTGGGAACAACTTGGAGAGATGAGGGTCAGGGGAGACCAGTGCCCTCAGGAGGCAGAACGTCACAAGCTCAGACCCAGAGGCAGGACTGAGAACAGCAGATTAACAACAGGGGAGAAACAGGCCTAACTGGAAGTAAAGAGAGGCCAGATTCGAGAAGCCCTCACATGCCAGGAGAGAAGTTCAGACTCAGAGCTCTGGACACAGACAGTGGTTGGGACCTGCAAATACTCCTGGGATCTCAGAAAGAGGCTTCTCTCCTGCTGGAGAATCGGGGAAGGCTTCTCAGAGGAGGCGACACATGAGATGAGGATGGAGTGGGTGTTACCACAGAGCTAGCAGCACGAACCCAGGTCCCCGAGATAGGGATGCCCAGGGGAGGAATGCTACCCAGGGAGCATGGAGGAAGGCAGCGATTGGCCAGGTCACTTTTTGTCTTTTTCTTCATTCATCAGCTATTTATTGACTATATATACCAGGCTGGCCCTCCAAAAACAACAGTCATTATAATATTTATTACGCGCTCGGCATGTGCCAGGCACTGTTCTGAATGCTTCGTGAGCACTAACTCTCTTAATAGTAAATGTTTGTTGAATGAATGTGTGCACTCAAGCCTGCCCCTGGGCTAGGAGGTGGGGGCACAGCAGCCCCTGGATTCAAACATCTGTGAGGGCCCATAGCTGCTCACACCCCGTGTTCTCCTTCCACAGGAAATCCCCATGAACTTCGTGGATCCCAAAGAGTATGACATCCCTGGGCTGGTGCGGAAGAACCGGTACAAAACCATACTTCCCAGTGAGTACTTGCTGCCCCAGAGGGATGGGGGCAGGCTCAGCTTCACCTGGGGACCCCCTCACCCTGAGGAGGAGCGTAAGCCCCCAGCGGGGCCTCCAGGGGTGAGGGGACACTCATCGCTAGAGGAGGTGGGACAGAGGGTTAGGGTGTGCTGGCTGAAGGGAAGCGCCACCCCGGTGAGGCCAGAGGCGAGTTCATTTCCTCACACAGCACTCTCTGGTCCTTTGCCCTGCCTGGCCACGTGTTGTGCTGAGCCCTCTAGAAACCCAGAGAGAAAGGGTGGTAATGACAGCAGCTCCTAGCCACAGTGTGGTAGCCGAAAGGTCACCTTTCATATTCTCTATCTTTTCAGAGTGGGCAGATTGTAAGGAAAGGAAGTTAAGTGGCTCACCCACAGTCCCACAGCTAGGAAGTGCAGAGCTGAATTTCAGACCCGGGCCTCTGTGATCCCAGAGTCAGGCTGTCAGGCTCTCTGTCTACACGGCGTGGAGTGTGGTCGGATTGTAAGCCCTCTAACAGGGACATCCACTGCCACAGGCGAATGAGTGTCTCTGTCAGGGAGTGAGCTCCCTGTCACTTAGTGTATTCAAGTGAGGCGGCATGAGCAGTCCCCTAGAAGGTCTGACAGGGGTTTTCCTCCTTTGGGGTTAGTTAGACCAGGTGACCTGATGCTCCTCTGTCAGCCCTGGGGTGTCATTTTCAGATAACTTTTATCAAGCTTCGATGAGCCTGCCACCCTTGCCAAATTCTGACCCCAGGCCCTTGTTGAAAGTGAATCCGCATAAACCTGCCCCAATTCAGTTTGTAGAGTAGCAAGGCTTTTAAAAAGCAGCTTTGCCATCAGCATCTCCAACAACATGTAAGATGTCATGACTTATTTTTAACTTTTAAAATATCGACTTGTAGTTGCTATGGTTACACAGTCTCTAGGTAGTTCCGGTTAAACAAAGCGCCATTTAAGGCCAGGATGCATTATTCAGGGATGCTCACCTCTTCCCTCATCTTGCCCTCCCCCATCCCAGCCCTACCTGGAGGGAGGGACTTGAGTATCCTAGAACCTTATACTTTGCTGGCCACTCAGAATGGCCACTGGGGGAAGGTGGGAGCAGACCAGGATTCCATGCAGTCCTCACTGCATTCCGAGAGGCTCGAGCTGCCTCCAGCCATGCCCTGAGCCCAATAAAGAATTTTGTCTGTGTCCAGCAAGAATGGACCCTGTGCCTGCAGAGACTGGGTTGGGAGGCAGAGAGCAGGTGAGGCTGAGCAGCGCCGCCTCTCAGATCCAGGACACGCTGAGGTTTGTTCTCTCATTCACTGGGCACACGTTTCCTCAGCTCCTGCCCCAGGAACTGAGGATTTAGTTGTAAATAGGACACAGACTCTGTGCACAAGGAGCTTCCAGCCTAGTGGGGGAGAGAGGTCCATGCACAGTTACAGGCAGAGTGACCAGTAACCCACAGGCAGTGTTGAGAACAAGATGCTGCGAGCAATTTCTCTCCCCTTCTCCACTGTGTCCAAAGCATCAAAACAGTGCTGCCTGGCACATGGTAGACATTCTGCACCTATTTGGGTTGTTTTAATTTTTGTAGAGATGGAGGTCTTGCTCTGTTGACCAGGCTGGTCTCGAACTTCTGGCCTCAAGGCTACCTTCACCTGCTTTGGCCTCCCAAAGTGCTGGGATTATAGGCATGAGCCACCATGCCGGGCTCTGCACCTATTTGAATGAATGAATAATATCTCTCAGATCTACATCCTCTTCTTCAGCCTCACTGCCAAATGATGCTTTTGAGGTTAGGGCTTTCATGTTGCCCAATTCCAGGGGACACCATTTACATAGATTACATTGATTGACATAAGTGCCCCCTGGAGCCGTGCCAGGCTGGACAGCCCTGTGATCCTTGACACTTCTTACTTGGATCATTGCCGTAAACATCTAAATGGTCTTCTGGCTCCCAGCTCCCACACTCTCCTCTCCATCTTCTACCATTGCCACCAAAATGATGCAAAACAGAAATCTAATTGTGTCGTTCCCTTCCTTAAATGCCATCATTGGCCGGGCGCGGTGGCTCAAGCCTGTAATCCCAGCACTTTGGGAGGCTGAGACGGGCGGATCACGAGGTCAGGAGATCGAGACCATCCTGGCTAACACGGTGAAACCCCGTCTCTACTAAAAATACAAAAAAAAAAAAAAACTAGCCGGGCGAGGTGGCGGGCGCCTGTGGTCCCAGCTACTCGGGAGGCTGAGGCAGGAGAATGGTGTAAACCCCGGAGGCGGAGCTTGCAGTGAGCTGAGATCCGGCCACTGCACTCCAGCCCTGGCTACAGAGCAAGACTCTGTCTCAAAAAAAAAAAAAAAAAAAAAAAAAAATGCCATCATTATTGCCACCCTTTTAATCCTCAGGTTTAAGTCCATCTTTCTTGTTGTTTTTTTTTTTTAGACAGAGTCTCACTCTGTTGCCCAGGCTGGAGTGCAGTGGCACAGTCTCGGCTCACTGCAACCTCTGCCTCCTGGGTTCAAGCAATTTCCAGCTAATTTTTGTATTTTTAGTAGAAACAGGGTTTGACCATGTTTGGCCAGGCTGGATTCGAACTCCTGACCTCAAGTGATCCGCCCACCTCAGCCTCCCAAAGTGCTGGGCTTACAGGCATGAGCCACTATGCCCAGCCTAAATCCAGCTTTCTAAGCCTGGTTTATAAGACCCTTTGTCACCTAGTTCCTCTCCAGCCTCACCTCTCACCACTCCCTACCCTGTGCTGTGCATGTGAATCTGACAGAACGGCATTGCCTGCAGACAGGGAGATGGGAGATGGCCCACACAGAGCTTCCTGCCCTCCTCTGCTGCAGGTCCCCCAAAAGCCCCCTCCCGCTTACCCTCGCTCCTCTCCATCCCTGCCACCCTCTACACCCCCTCTTCACAAGAACTGCCTCCAAATCACCTGCCAAAAACTTAGACAGTGGGGTTGGGCTAAAGAGGCAAAGCTTGTGCCCTTTACCTCCCCAATTTCTCCTACCAGGTTTAGGATCCTTCTTTTTATCCTTTAACCTGTGGAACTTGTAATAATGGCAGTAATAACAGCAGCTGATACTTTGTGTTGGTCCTAGTTACTGGTATAAGGACTCTAGTTGTTAAAGTTAACTTCTTTACAAGATAAGCAAGGTCACTGTGGAATGACCATCCCCAGGTTACAGATAAGGCACAGGGAGATGAAGTAAATTGTCCATGTTGACACTGCTAGTAAGTCAGAATCAGGATTTGAACCTAGCCTCTCTGGCTCAGCGGTGTAGACTCTTAATGACTCCCCTCTACTGCCTGTGACAGCCTCCTAATGTGCACACTGGAAGTCTTTAGTCCAGTCCTCCCTATTACAGGAAGTAAACTGAGTCCTGGACAAGTGGGTTGATGACAAAACTAAACCAGAACCCAGGACTCTGGGCCTCCAGCCAGCTTCCCCCTTAGCCCATACAACCTCAGTCTCGGCCTCTGCAGGCTGACCGAATAGTCAATGCACGGAGGCTCTAGCTGGAACAAAACAAAATCTACTTCAGGAAGAAGAGCAGGGTGGGGGCTGGGCACAGTGGCTCATGCCTATAACCCCAGCACATTGAGAGGCCGAGGTAGGAGGATCACTTGAGCCAGGAATGGGAGACCAGCCTAGTCAACATAGCAAGACCTCATCTCTACCCAAAAAAAAATAATAATAATTTAGCCAGGTGCAGTGGCACATGGCTGTAGTCCTGCTTACTCAGGAGGTTGAAGCAGAAGGATCACTTGGGCCCAGGAGTTACAGGCGGCAGCGAGCCATGATCGTGCCACTGCACTCCAGCCTGAGTGACAGAGAGAGCCCCTTTTAATATGGGATTTGACATGTGAATAAATTGAAAGGAAAAAAAACCCTTTTTGACATGTGCACATGAGGCTAAGACCCTCCAGTCTTATTTCAGATAGGGGAGACTATTGTTTTCATCTTAATAGCCTCCCTCAACTTTCTATTCCCACATCTGAACAGCCCTTTATACTTACAAAGCACTTTACCGTTTATACAGAACTTTCACTTCTCTTTTCTCATTCGTCTTCCCAGCAGCCCAAGGAAGTAGACATCTTTGCCTCCATTTGACAGATAGGAAAACTGGGGCTTAGAAAGGCTATGTGCTTTACAAGGCTACACAGCAAGTCAATGACAGTGTGTACTCAAGCTAGCTGTCTCTTGCTGTCCAAGATCTGTACAGGAATTTCCCTAGGTAATTCTATCATTGACTTAGCTGTCTCCTCTCCAGAAGCTAAGACGCAGTGAGTATAGGGCAACTTAAGGGGCACAGGCTAAGGATAGAGACAGAGGTGGAGACCCGGGGACACCTCTCTGTCTCCACCCTCCTCCTCATCCTGAGTCCTCACCTGCAAAATGAACCATGAATGGGTGAATGTTTTGCTGCTGGGCAAGGAAAGGAAGAACTGCTAAGGTCACAGAAGAAATATGGGTATCCTGGAATAGGCCAGAGAAGGTGGGCCCTGCCCCAGAGGGCCCAGCTTCCAGCCTTACTTGTCTCCTGCCACCCCAGACCCTCACAGCAGAGTGTGTCTGACCTCACCAGACCCTGACGACCCCCTGAGTTCCTACATCAATGCCAACTACATCCGGGTACGTATTCCCACCCTGACAGCCTCTTGCTAAAGGGGAGGCTTGAGTCGATGGGATCCATCCTCCAGCCTTGTCCCTACACCAGTCTGACTCCTGCCAGCTTCTGGGAAGAGCCTGAGTGTGGGGATGGGGTCCTGGGAGTACTGCCTCTGACCCTGACAGCCTGGACTTGGCTGGCCACAGGGCTACGGTGGGGAGGAGAAGGTGTACATCGCCACTCAGGGACCCATCGTCAGCACGGTCGCCGACTTCTGGCGCATGGTGTGGCAGGAGCACACGCCCATCATTGTCATGATCACCAACATCGAGGAGATGAACGAGGTAGGGACCCCCGTCCCCATTCCGAGTGCCTGCTACATTGCGCCCTACACTAAGTGACTTGTTCTCAGATTAATCTTTATGACAATCTCACAAGGTTGGCGGTGTTCACCCTGCTGCCAAGATGAGGAGATGCGAGGCTTGGTGAGGTTAAGTCGTTTGCCCCGGCCTCACACATAGAGGCATGCCTGGAGGTGGTCTTTCCACTTCCGATGCCTGTGACCTCAAACACAGCACTCTGCTGCCTCCCAGCCTGCCGGGACAGATGCTGGCTACTCCTGTACTCCTGGCCCATTTAACTGAATCTCCATGAAAGTCCTTCAGATGGTAGCACTTCTGTTTTCCAGAGGAAGAAACGGAGGCTCAGGAAGGGGAAGTAGCTTATAGAGTTTGCAGCTGAGATTTGAACCCAACACTCTGTAGCAGCAACCCTGTTGCCCTTGTGTATCTCTCCGCTGGCCCTGGAGAGTGTTGGGGAGAGTGTGGGAAGGGACCAGGATTGTATGGCAGCCTGATCTGGGCCCCTGCAGAAATGCACCGAGTATTGGCCAGAGGAGCAGGTGGTGTACGACGATGTTGAGATCACTGTGCAGAAAGTCATTCACACGGAGGATTACCGGCTGCGACTCATCTCCCTCAAGGTGAGGCCTGGGGCAGGGCTGGGCGAAGCTGAGGATGAGTGTAGGGGCTTAACTGGGGACTCCACAGAGAACAGGTCCCCAAAGTCCACTGTAACTGACCTAAAAGCCAGTGTCACTCCCAGATTTTCTGATAACTATGGATGAGTGAGAGGTGAAGGACTTGGGGGCCAGAGGTAGAATCAAACCCCTTGCATTTCCCAGTCCTCAGTTGTATTTCGGGCTGTTGGGCTCCTCTCTCTTTCTACTCTGTCATTCATAATGCCTTCTAGCTATGCTTCAAATGTACCCAAGGCCAGGACTGTCCAGATGAGGGGACTTCAGCAGCCTCCAGCACTGTCTTTATAATTGAGGGTTCATCATGACTTTGAGATCCTCCCTAGAAACATCTCTTCACCTGGGATGCTGGGCTTCTGACCTGTAGTGCCCAATCTGTCCACAAGAGGGCAGGCACTCTTTGCTGCTTTGGGGTTGTATAGGGAGGCTGTGGTTACAGAGAACAGCAAGAAAAAGGAAGACACACAAAATATGAGCAATACAAAACAGCCCAGAAGAGTGGGGGAAGGTATCCTCCCACCCTGAAGTTGTGCTTCTTCCAGGATCAGCATCATAGAGGAGACTGTTTCTTTGAAATCGGGATTAGTGGATTCTGCTTGTGAGAAATAAGACCCATGTTTAGGGAAGGCTGGAAGAGGCGAGCCAGGCACCAGGAAGCTGATGCCCTATCCAGGAGCAGCCAAGGAGATTCACTGATGCTGATAGCCACAGGGGTTACTGAGCACAAGACCGGAGATCTGGCCCTCTGAGCTGCTCCCTCTCCCACTGGATAGGGGCTAGGTAGGGTGTCGAAGCATCTCAGCCCCCAAGAGCAGTGCCCCCTCTCCAAGCAGCTCTAAGATCCAGGTCTTGTTGGAGGGCATGAAGGGCCAGGAAGTCAAGAACAGAGGTAGTGGTTGCTGTCACAGCCAGGTAACCCCAGGACCTGAGCAAATGGCTTCCTGAGTAGAAATTCCACAGAAAGACAGGCTGAGATGAGGCAGGGCTGCTCACCTTCTCAATGCCATGGAGATGATGAGGGAAAAACCGGGTCATCTTGGAGTTTGAGGGAATTTACTTTTGTCCATAAGACATTACTAATACCTGGCCTGAGCTTGGTTCTGGGTTGGGTACTGTGAACACAGAGCTTCTCAAAGCTTGGACTCTTTCCTCGAGAAGCATGTATAAGATGGTCAGTACTGAGCTAGAGATAGGTATATAGAATATAGGATATGTATATCATATGTTAAATTGGATGAATATAGGATCTATATCATATGTATATATGATATACACATCCTATATATACCTATATATAATATATATAACATAAATATATAAAATACATAATATATATAAAATATAAATATATATATATATAGGGGTGTGTGTGTGTGTGTGTATATATATGTATAAAAGAAGGACACTCTGCCAGCTAATGTGCTCAGGGAGGGCCTCCTGTAAGTGGTGGTGCCGAATGGGGTCTTGAAGGATAAGTAAGAGTTGACCGGGGCAAACAAGTCAGGAGAGCGTTCCCAGTGAGAAAAAAATAAAACAAAGGACATGGAAGATGGGACACTTGTGTGCATGTGTGTGTGCACGTGTGTTTGCATGTGCTGCTGAGATTTTACCTACAAACCTTTCGGAGTGTGGGAGCATTGAGTACAAGTACACAGGAGCAGGAGGTGTGTCTGGAAGGGCAGGCCCTGTAGCAGTTGTCTTCCTAGCCAGGCGAAGGACTGAGAAGAGTAGGTCTTATTCTGAGAGCAGTGAGAGACATTGAAGGATGTTGTGGTCTGCTCAGGCTGCTATAACAAAATACCATAGACCAGGGAGCTTGTAAGCAACAGGTTTATTTTTCACAGTTCTGGAGGCTGGGAAGTCCAAGATCAAGGCACCATGACCCTGGTGAGGACCCACTTCCAGGGTCATGTCCTCACATGGCAGAAGGAGTGCAAGATCATTGAGGCCCCTTTTGTAAGAGCACTGATCCCATTTGTGAGGGCTCCGTTCTCATGACTTAATCACCTCAGAGGCCTTCCCTTCAAATACCACCATACTGGGGTTTGGTTACAACATGTGAACCTAGGGGGACACACACATTCAGTCCAAAGCCATGTGTTTGCAGCAGGAGAGCAGCATGTCCAGAAGTGTGTTGTACACAGACTATTTTGACTCTGTGGATCTGAGACAGTTGGGAATGAGGCAGAAATCTCCCACACTCAAGCAATGATAAAGGTCAAGGTGGCAGTGAAGCGGGGAGTGTGAAGAGGTGGTAAAACTTACAGCACCAATTGCAGCACTAAGATAGAGGCGAGTCACGCAGGCGAGGCACAGCAAGAGGAGAAGAAGAGTCCTGGGGCTGGGTTATGTGACAAAGGGATGACTGGGGGACCATTTGTTAAGATAAGGAGCCCCGGAGACAGTAATAAATTGGAGAAGGGGCTCTTGGCCCCTCTTGGACGATCCTGAAGTCGTTGGGGCAGGACCAAAGACAAGATCCACACCAACACCACTGACCAACCCCCAAAACCGAGCTGGCTTTGGGTCTCTGTCTGGTGCCACTGGGCAATATGGCCTAGATGGAAGGGTTAAGGGGTTCCACTCTCTGTGTGCTTCCTGTGTTCTTCTTCCTCCCATCCCATCTCTATCTCTGGGCTGGTTTGTGAGCTGAAAGAGTTCACACATACCCGGGGTGGGCCTCTGTCTCCTCGACAGAGTGGGACTGAGGAGCGAGGCCTGAAGCATTACTGGTTCACATCCTGGCCCGACCAGAAGACCCCAGACCGGGCCCCCCCACTCCTGCACCTGGTGCGGGAGGTGGAGGAGGCAACCCAGCAGGAGGGGCCCCACTGTGCCCCCATCATCGTCCACTGCAGGTGGGTCCTCCCAGCCAGCCACTGGAGCGGGGCAGCCCCCCACCCGCTGGGCTGCCCTGCCCCTCACCCCACCGGTCCCCTCGGCCCTCAGTGCAGGGATTGGGAGGACCGGCTGCTTCATTGCCACCAGCATCTGCTGCCAGCAGCTGCGGCAGGAGGGTGTGGTGGACATCCTGAAGACCACGTGCCAGCTCCGTCAGGACAGGTCAGCCCACGGGTGGGGGCTGGGCACACAGGGGAGCTAGAGCCTCGAGGGGGTAGAGGGAGAGACCCACATGTGTATTGGGGGGCGAGGGGCAGATGGAAAACACTGGCATGGACTGATGGGCAAACAAGGAGTAGCGAGAACAGCTGGGTAGAGAGGCAGGATCCAGACGGTGGGGGGCCGGATGAAGAGGGACGAAAAGCAGAGCTGCTGGACAAAAGGACAGAGGCTGAGAGGCTGAAAGCGGTAGGACATGTCATCTGTGTCCCTGATAGGAAGGGGCAGAGGGTAATGGTTGGCAAGGGTTGGTCTCTCCGAGATGCACAAGGACAAGGCCTGGCAAGTGATGGCTACTCCGTGGCTTTTGAGGCACCCTCCCACAGCCCATCCTTCCATGACCCTGCCCCCACTGTGCATCTCTGCCGGGCAGGGGCGGCATGATCCAGACATGCGAGCAGTACCAGTTTGTGCACCACGTCATGAGCCTCTACGAAAAGCAGCTGTCCCACCAGTCCCCAGAATGACTGCGCTTCTCCTGCAAGGTTCTCTGGGCACTGCCCAGCCTGAGTCTCAGCCCTCACCCAGGGCCCCGCCTTGGGTCCTGGGCCTGCTCCCCGCTTCCTCCCCTTCAGTCAGCTCCCTCTGTCCTCTCTGTCAGCCTGGCCTGGCCCCTACCCTCCAGCATTGCTCTTCCTACTGTACATATTGAGGAGTGGGGGCAGGGTCGGGGAGGGACATGCCAGGCCGGGCCTGGGGCCCCAGGGCCTGATCCACACCACACAGACCCCGGGCCCCAGTTTTTAACGATGGTTCCATCAGTACCTGATCCAGAACGTTTCCGTGCCACACTCTGTGTCCTGCTGCAGTGTGTTCTGTCTGTCCGTCCATCTCTGCTGTCTGTACCGGACACTGTGTCTCCTCGGCCAGGAAGGGGTGATGAGCTCCAGCCCTTAAGCAACCTGGGCGGACTTGCCTGCCTTGGCCTCACCCGCACTTCTCCCAAAAGGCAGATGACTGGGAGTTAGGCATGGGGAGCTCCGGAGGGCTACCAGAGTTCCAGCTGAGGGAGAGGTCTCTAGGTTGGAGTGGGCATCACAGCCAGGGTGGCCTCTGGGTGTCAGATGCCCTCAGGAGGGTGCCCAGCCTGTGAGGCACTGGCGAGGAAGGGGGCAGATGGGGTGTGGAGAACCCAGAGGATCTGGGCCCTGTTGGGGAGGGGAGGGGAGCTCAAGGTTTGGGTGGGGACTCAGCCCCAGATCTGTGTGAGACATTTTTCGTGTCGCTGTGGGAAAGCCTTCCCAGAAGTCTCACTGCGTGTCGCTCTGCGTGTGTTCCCATGTCCATGCGTGTGTTGAGAGCCCACCAGGAGGGCATGCATGACTCTGGCAACGTGTGTTATCTTGGAGCCACGTGTTTTTATTGCTGACTTTAAATATTTATCCCACGGCAGACAGAGACATTTGGTGTCTTTTTATAATTCGCTCGTGGTCATTGAATAGAGCAATAAACGGAGCATTTTGAGCAAAACTAACCACCTGGGTCTGTGTGATTTGCCTCTCCCCTCCACTGCCTGCCTTCCTGTACCTGGGTCTTTGTGCCCCTCCCCAGCATGAGCACACAGAGAGCTTGGCCCTTCTGCTCACTGGAGCCCCTTGTGGAGACTGGGAGTTTGGAGCGAGTCCACATTTGTAAAGCCAAACTGGGAACATTCTGCAGGATTCTCACACAGCCTCAGCCCTGGCCCTGACAGATGCTCTGGGCCAGGTGTGGAGCCTCAAGGACAGGTGTGGAAGGCTTCCAAGGAAGGCACAGTGGCTGGCAGGTCACCAGTTCCAACAGACGTGCCAGAGAAGCCAAGGCTAGAGCAAGTAGACATTCAGGTCACACCCAGGCCCCTTCCTGTTGGCCAAACACTTATCCCTTGTGGGCTCCACAGGTCCCAACAGCAGCTGCAGCCCAGTAATTTCCCTTGTAAGGCCTGGGCTCAGAGTAGCTTCTCCCAAGGGGCCCAGGGAATCTGCATGTGGACTGAGATCCTGAGCCATCCTGGACACTCCTGCTCTATTCTTGTCCCCTGCCCCCCTGGGATGGAGCAAAAGTAGCCATGATGCCACTGCTGGCAGGTGGGGGTCACCCCAGGGCAGAAGGAAGGGTCCAGAGCAAGGGTGCTGACCAACAAGTCCTTACAAGATGCCAGAACCTTGGGTGGGATCCAGGGTCCAGGCATGTGGGGTGTGCTACAGATGATGAGAAAATCTGTCCAGGGTGGGCTGGACACAGTGGCTCACACCTATAATCCCAGCACTTTGGAAGGCTGAGGGGGGCAGATCATGAGGTCAGGAGTTTGAGATCAGCCTGACCAACATGGTGAAACCCCATCTCTACTAAAAATACAAATATTAGCCAGGCATATGGTGGTGCATGCCTGTAATCCTAGCTACTCAGGAGGCTGAGGCAGGAGAATTGCTTGAACCTGGGAGGCGGAGGTTGCAGTGAGCCGAGATTGCGCCACTGCATCCAGCCTGGGTGACAGACAGAGACTCCATCTCAAAAGAAAAAAAAGAAAACAACAGGTGGCTGAAGCAGCCCAGATGGAGGTCCTTGAGAAGAGGTGGCCATACTCTCCAGTCACCCTCAAGAGTAGAGACCTCCCCACAACCCTCCAGAGGTGATGGGCCTCTCTCTACTCTTTCCCCCAGATTAGGGAGACTGTGCTTGTTTGAAGTGGGAGAATGAAGTCATAACATTGCCCTTGTCCTTTTCCCCAGGGTGGCGTTGTAAATGTATATCTCAGGCTGTGTTATTGAACCACACGATGAGGTATGTGCAATAAATGAATGCACCCTGGATTTTGTGTAGCAAATGCAGCATAGAGCCCAGGTAGGCCCTCCCAGTTCATCCCCGTTCCCTAGTCCTCTGAAAAATACAGGACCTGTTGCTTTGCTCCCTGAGCCCTAGCTCGGACTAGCATTGCTAATCAGTACCTGAGTGTGTTGCTCGATGTCTGTATCACTATCTTATCCTGAGCCCCTCCGCTCGAGAGATGGTTGCCCCAGGCAGCAGTGAGGCCAAAACCTTGTATCTATAATGGGTAACAGAATAAAGTACCCCTGGTACTGCCACTCCTCAGCCTCCTTCCTTGGACTTGGCTTCAAGTGTTGCCCCTCAGTCTCTGGAATTCCAGCTTTGTCTTTCATCTCCTCTTCTTCACTGCCCCTCCCTTCCTTCTCCCTCTCTCCTCATCTATTATCAGATTGCCAGTGTGCTCATCTAGCTGAGATCAGGTGCAGGAGCTCTGTAGTAAGGATATCACCCCCAGGTTGGGGCCAGACATTTAATTGGAACAGATGGTGGACACTGGTTAGCCTCCACTGTGTGGGCAAAGGAAGAAGATAGACGGGCGCACCGTACAGTGTCCCAGGCTACTAGCTTGAGCCTCCAAAGCCTGTGGGACGCTAGCATTCGGATTTGGGAGGGGACTGTCTAATGCTGAGGTAAGTTCTTCCCCTCCTCCTCAGGGAATGGGGACATAAGCTGACCACCTTCTGACGCCCAGAGGGGGACTACAGGGGTAGTAGAGCATGGCAATAGGGACAGGGGAAATAGTCTCAGAATTCCCAAAGGTTAGAAGCAGCTCCAGTGCAGGAGATAATTAGGTGGGTGATGAGGAGGGAAAATAGAGGTTTACCCTCCTTAAGCTACACTTGGTTTAAAAGAAGTCTTGTAGCAGCCCTCTGGGACCACCTCGCGGACTGGTCAGTCACGAGCTAGGAGTCTAGTCTGAGTGACCTTAGACAGGGTCATTTCTTTCAGACATCAGATTCCTCATATACAAAATAGGGCTTTAAAAACTGCAATGCTGGGCCAGGCGTGGTGGCTCACACCTGTAATCCTAGCACTTTGAGAGGCTGAGGTGGGCGGATCACGAGGTCAGGAATTGGAGACCAGCCTGGCCAACATAGTGAAACCCCATCTGTACTAAAAATACAAAAATTAGCCAGGTATGGTGGTGCGTGCCTGTAGTCCCAGCTACTTGGGAGGCTGAGGCAGGAGAATTGCTTGAACCTGGGAGGCGGAGGTTGTGGTTAGCCAAGGTCGTGCCACTGCACTCCAGCCTGGGCAACAGAGCAAGACTTCATCTCAAAAAAAAAAAAAAACAAAAAAACTGCAATGCTGGCCAGACGCTGTGACTCACACCTGTAATCCTAGCCCTTTGGGAGGCCAAGGCAGGTGGATCAATTGAGGTCAGGAGTTCAAGACCAGCCTGGCCAACAAGGTGAAACTCTGTCTCTACTGAAAATACAAAAATTAGCTGGGCATGGTGGCATACACCTGTAATCCCAGCTGCTGGGGAGGCTGAGGCCGGAGAATCGCTTGAATTTGGGAGGAGGAGGTTGCAGTGAGCCGAGATCGCACAAAAAAAAACCGCAATGCTGGTTAAATACAACATGGAGGGACATCCATTCATTGAGATAACATGGTACTCTGAATAGGAATGAGGAAACTCTATCATCTGGCATGGAAAAAATCTCCAAGACATATTAAATGAAAAAAGAAAGGGTCAGAATAGTGTGTATAATGGGCTACCTAAAAAAAAAGGAAGATGACAAGAACGTATGAGTTTTCCTATTTGCATGACGGAGGTCTAGAAGGAGCCTAGAGACGGGCTACCTGTTGCAATGGGGAAGGTTGTAAGATAGACAGACACAGGAGTGGGTGGGAGCCTCTCCATATGGATTTTTATATTGTTTTATTCTTTATGTGATTGAATTACCAGTTCAAAGAAAAATGTAAGAAAAACTAAACCTTTGCCTTTACCATGTCGCAAACACAAGCAGAACTGTAGCAACGTTTTGTCATTTGTTTTAGCATCTGGGTTCCCCAGGGCCCAGGAATAAGAGCCACAGCTTCCTTCTAAGGCCCACTCCAGTATGTCTTAGGAAGTTCTTTCTTAGGTCTGACTGCATTCCCTCCTGATGAAACATCCAGCACTGCCTCCTTAGTGCCATGTAGCTATCAATAGGTATCCTCAACTCCCTCCAGGCCTTACTTGGTTGGCTGGGTAAGTCTAAGCCCTATAACCCCTCCCTCTGAGACCTTGGAATAGTTTGGAGTTGCTCAGTGAGAGGACAGGACTATTGGGTCTGGTAACTAACCAGGAAAAGGGAGCTAGGAAATGAAGAAAAGAGAGCTTGACTGCTCTCCTGGCCCTCTCCTGTGTGCTTCCATATCCTCTTATGTCTGAATACACACATAACATCTCTGAATCTCCCTCCTACTCCCTGTCTTGTCCTTCATGGCCTCATCCTCTCCCCAGTCTCACAGGTGAGTGCCCACGCCTGCTGTCACCATGACAACCATTCACAGCCAGCAGATGCTGCAGGAGCACGTGTCCATGGAGTTCTCCAGCTCCACCACCCACGTGCAGACCTTCTCCCAGACAACCAAGATCGTGGGAGGCAAGTGGAATGGGGGCAGGGAATGGATCGGGAAGGGCAGCTATTCTTCCTCTACACCTATCCCTTGGGTGGCCCCAGTTGTGCCACTAATGGGCCCCTCAGGAGCCCACAATACCAACAGCAACCCCCACCCAATGTGTGCTTCTAATCTGGGCTTTGTTAAAGCTTCAGTCAGCTGGATGTACACCACATATCAGATCTCCAGGAAAACAGCTTAGAAAAGATCAATCATGTGGATGTGTGTGAATGATTGATAAGCTCTTAATTGCTGAAGGAGATCAGAGCCATAGGTGAACGGATTATGTCTCCAAAGGTAGAACTTCAGGCATGGGGGAAATTAGGAGGGTAGCCACCTTATCTACATATCAGTAATACTGACCCTGCTCCACTTAAGAAATAGGAGACTTGGGGCTACCAGTGGAGAGAGAAGGTGAACACATAAACAAGAAGGTGACCTTAGCTTCCAGGCTTTTAGCCCACTGGGGCCAGACTTGGAGGAGGGCAGATCCAAGGGAAAGCTGAGAAATGGTCTCAGAGCTGAACAGAATGTTTTAGTCATGTCTCTAGTGGAAAGAGATTAAAAGATGGCCAGGGGCCGAGACATTGGATACCCCTTCTCACAGTCATTGCTCCTCCCTCAAAGCCTCAAATGGATAGAGTCTCTCAAAGTCTTCTGTGCACAGAAGTCAAGGCCAGATAAATACTCTATACCAACCAACACCTCCTGGCCAGTGAGGCAGAGCAAGTGGAACAGCTGGGACTCAAGACATATGGTCTAGACCAGAAGTTCCAAACTCAAGTGATTTATAGCAGTGATTCTCTGCCCTGGCTGCACATCAGAGTCACCTTAGAGCAGGGGGTGGGAGGAGGGCAAAAATATGGCAGTACCTGAGTCTCACCCCAGACCATTCAATCAGGTATTTCTTATAAAGTTCTCCATGGATTCTAATGTGCAAACAAAGCTGAAGACCACTGAACAACAGGGCCCAGGCAGGGAACATAAATGTAGGGAAGAGACTGGGGTAAACTAGATGGTATATCCCATCTAAAGGGGCAGCCACTATTCACCTCCCACTGACTGTTGCCATATGGGAATACAAGTCCAGTGTTGAGAATCCAGAAATCCGAATTTTTATGTGAAATCTTTCTATTTCAGATGTAGGGCTACTTTTTTGTTTAAACATTGTGGAGGTCACATAAAAGACATCTGCAGGCCAGGTATCCCCTGCATTCTGCCTGTTTGAGACCTCTGGTTCCTATTTAAAAGCAGGCCATGAGAGCTTCTTAACACACTTTTCCCCCTCTGTCAGATTAGTGGGATACTAAAGGCACCTACTTCAGTGGGATACTGTGGAGATTAAATAAAATCACCTCTGATATGTGCCTAGCACAGTTCCTGACTCAAGGAAAGTGTTCCATGATTCGGAGCAATTGTTATGAATTGATAACTCACCAGCCAAGAAGATTTTCTGTAGTTTTATGCTGCAAAAAGTTTTTTGTCTTCCAAATATAAAATTATATTTCCACATTGAAGATGTGCTTTCAGATAAGGATATTCCCATATATAGCCCCACTGGAGTGGGAATGTGTCCTGTCCCTCACTCAAGAATCACTACTGCCAAGGCACTGAATGCTGAACCCACAGAATGGCAGGGAGAAAATCTAGAGCAGAGCTCAGCCAAGCTACAGACCTCCCAGGCAGAAGCAGGCCTAGCCCCTCTTAATGCTACTGGGGGACCAGGACTTCCAGGAGAGAAGCCTAAGAGACCAAGAAAATTCCAAAAGAGAAGCCACCTTTAAAAAAAAAAAAAAATTGGGCCCCGGGCTGTGGCCCCATAAAGGTAATGGACCACTGAAGTGTGGGAAAGGAGTTCGCGTCCCCTAGTGGTTGAAACTTGCCATAACACAATGGCCCATCGACGCACCTTGCTTTCTCCCCACGTAGCTGGTCCTGGTCCCACTTCCCTAAATGCCCTTTGTTCCCATGCTCCACCGTCCCCTCAAGAAAGCTCAGTCCTCCCATCGCGAGCTGGGCTTCTACCTGGAGCCCATTCTGACCTCTCGCCTGCCTCCACAGAGGAGGTCGTGACGAGGAAGTCCTCGAGCACGGTGGAGTTCTTCAGCTTGGTGACCCGGAGCTCCAACATCCCTGCGGGCGACAGCGTCCCAGAGTTCGTGGAGAAGCCTCACCCGGTCACTGCGCCCGAGGGTGTGTTGCTGCCCATGGCTCCCCGGGCCCCCAGTGCTTCGCTTTCTAATCGAGTGTCCCCACCCTCCCTTCCACCCCAACGACCTCTAATGCTAAACCCTGGCAGAGCCTGCCCGAGGGTTCCTCCCCTGCCCGGGGCCAGGCCCAGGTGTCTGGGAGGAGGCGGGGAGCCGGCAGAGGGTGGCAGAGGCTCTAGCCTGGTGGCTAAGAGGCGAAAACGCGTCCTGTGCTCATCGCAGGGGACAAAGCCGTGTTCCGAGCCCGGGTGCAGGGGAACCCCAAACCCTGCATCTCCTGGAAGAGGGAGAGCGGCATCCCCATCAAGGAGTCCGCCAAGATATTCTACGACAGCATTAACAAGGAACACGTGCTGAAGGTGCGGGGGCCAAGCCGGAGTCTAGTTACGGAGAAGGCCAGAGGCAGGGACCCCCAGGGCGTGCCGCCAGTCTCCTCACCAATGAGAGCCTTAACGGCGGCCCGAGAACTGCGGCAGGATAAGAGAGGCGGAGTCAGGAACTGGGGTATTCCCGAATGAGCAGAGGACCCAAAGTACCCCCAGGGCAGAGCAGAGCAGGGGCAGAGCCAGAACGTGGTGGGGCGGGGCCCAATGGAAGTGAAGGGGCGTGTCCACAGGCGAGTGAGCCAAAAGGAATGCGGGACCAAGACGGTGGCCGTAGCCATGGAGGGCGGGACCACTGTGGGTGGAGAGGTGCCGCAGGGACTGGTCCGTAGAGTAGGGTTGAGGGTCAGGGGCTCTGGACTCTCCAGCTGAACCCTCTAGAACAGCCTCCCCAAGGACAGACCATCCTTAGGTCTAATCAGCTTCTGGATCACTTTCTGAGAGCCGGGCCTGCCCAGTTGCAACCCCTGGCTCCAAGCCCTTCGAGGAAAGAGAGGGATGGGTCACAGAGATCTAGGCCTATAATTACTTCTGATCCTATAATCACTCGGATCCTGGCCCGATTTCCCGTTGTGAAAGGCAAAGAGCCTCCTTTTTTCCCCACAGACAGAAGTAGTCTCCTCCCAAAGACCCATCATCACTGGACTCTCAGCCCCGCACAACACATAGGAGCTGCCCCAGGTCCCCCTACTGGCCACCTCTTACACAAGCTCATTCATTCAGCAGACACTTTCTGAGAGTCTTGGTTTCTGACAGCCTAGCAGGCTTCTGCAAGCACCATGCAGACGGGTACCAAATCAGCCTTACTCACCACCGCTCCTTCTGGGGCTCAGCCCAGTGCCTGGTACAGAGGAGTAAATTGTATTAAATGAAGACTCAGCAAGATGATGCCAGAAACTGCAGATAGAGTTACAACGCAGGGGAAGTCCTGCCTTCTGGGAGCTCACAGCCAAGGGGGAAAGTCTGATGGAGAAGCAGACAGTTTTATTGCTATGGAATCAGGCTACAAACATGCATACTCGCACTGACTGCTAGCTGGTACCTCCAAATCATATAGGCTGCTCAATCCTCCACACGTATACCCAACACTCAGCTCCTATTGGCCCCTTTAAAAAAAAAAAAAAGGCCTCTTTCCTTATCTCACAGAAAGTCTCCCTGTGGTTCCTTTTCCTTCCCCCTCTAATGGCCGGACTTTGATCCAGCTGGAGCCACTGACCTCAGATGACTCTGACAACTACAAGTGTATTGCAAGCAATGACCATGCAGATGCCATCTATACTGTATCTCTGCTGGTAACAGAAGGTGAGTTGGCCCCTTCCTCTTGGCCTTTCTTCTTAGGGGCCAGACTCCCCCTGTCTGAACCTGTCCCTCTGTGTGTCCTCAGGTCAAGAGAAAATGGACTTCAAAAAGATGCTGAAGAAGCGGTGAGGCTGGCAGGTCCCTCTGCCCAAGATATTGTCTCCTCATCCAGGCTGAAGCCTCTCAAAGGCCTCTCCACAGGGCCCTGAGTTCCAAGAATCTATGGAGTAGGGAGGGGTTTCTCAAGGTTGGGAGAGGCATTGTGTACAAGCTTAGTCCCTTCCTCCTTCTCCTAGGGCACCCCCTGCTCCCAAGAAGAAGCAGAAGAAGGTGGCAAATGAGAAAGAGATGCTGGAGATTTTGTCCAAAGTGCCCAAGAAAGACTTTGAGAAGGTCTGCATGGAGTACGGTTTCACCGACTTTCGGGGGCTGCTCAGGAAGCTCAAAGAGATGAAGAAGAAAGTAGAGGTGGAGGTCAGTACCCTGCAGGGAGCAGGGGCCTGCAGGCTAGGGGCAGGGCCTCACCCAAAGTGCTAGTGCCTGTGTATTTCTCAGCGGCAAGGTCTCCCCAGTTCTGCACACACATACTCAGAGGCATACTCTCTACTGTGAAAGCAGCAAGGGAGCACATGTCACCTTCCTTCTACTTCTGTCTTTACCACTCCCTGATATACTTGCATGGACCTTGGAGTCAGATAGACCTAGATTCAAATCCCAGTTCTAGGCTGGGTGCAGTGGCTCACGCCTGTAATCCCAGCACTCTGGGAGGCCAAGGTGGGTGGATCACCTGAGGTCAAGAGTTCGAGACCAGCCTGCCAACATGATGAAACCCTGTCTCTACTAAAAATACACACACACAAAAATTAGCTGGGTGTGGTGGCACACACCTGTAATCCCAGCTACTTGGGAGGCTGAAACAGGAGAATCGCTTGAACCTGGGAGGCGGAGGTTGCGGTGAGCCAAGATCACACCACTGCACTCCAGCCTGGGTGACAGAGCAAGACTCTGTCTCAAAACAAACAAACAAACAAATCCCAGTTCTACTGCCTTATTAGCTGTGTGAACTTGGGCATCTCTCTGAGCTTCAGTTTCCTCATCTACAAAATGAAAATTATACTTCCTTCTTTCATTTGTTTGTGTGTTGTTGCTGTCATTCACTGGTTCACTCAACCAACTCATTAAGCATCTACATTGGAATTAGAGAATCTATATAATAGGCCCAGGTACATAGTGACTATTCTATGAATGATGGTTTTTGGTTTTGGTTTTTGTTTTTTTTTTGCTCATCCCCCATAATATTCCTCTCCTCCTAAATATTTAAATTGATCAGTGGAGCAGTGCAGGTTGTTATCTAATTAGCCTAGTCATTTCTCCCCATATGCTTAAGAGTTTCTCCAGGATTGAGGACACAGTCTGGGCAGGCTTTGGGTACCACTGACACTTGTCATTTTATTATCATAATCTCTCAGGCCATCCGGATTCTGAAGCCCCTGGAAGACAAAGAGACAAAGGTTGACACCACAGTGGTCTTTGACTGCATAATGGAGCTGAAAGACCCCAATGTCAAGATGATATGGATCAAGGTGGGGGATGCCTAGCCAGGGTCCACCTTGGCAATATCTCTTCCTCTCTACCCCCTTCTCTCACTATCCATAAGCCTTAGCCTCTCTTCCATCCCATCAAGAGGATGCCTCCTGGTATGGTTGAAAGAGGCTGGAATTGGGCTCTACTGTTAATTGTTTCACCCCTTTGTTGTGTGACATAAGACAGTCACATTCCTCTGTCTATGCCTCAGTCTACCCATCTTTAAATTGAAAGGCTTGATTAGACAGTCTTAAAGGTCACTGAAGATCTTTGCCTCTAAGGGAAAGCATCTAATGAACTCATGCATATTAAGAGCTCGGGCCTGTGAGGAGGCCTGTGGGGAGGCAGGGATCTTGGATCCCACCAAGCCAGATGATGAGGCTATAGAGATCATAGGAACCTCTGTGTGTCTTGAGGGTTGGACATGCACCCTCCAGCTTAGGCTGGCATTGGGGAATAGAGACCTCTGGAAGCCTCCTCCTAAAGCCCTTCATCAGCTTTCCTACCTGTTCCATGAGGCAGGGTACTGAGCCACTGAGGATCCAGTACTCCCTGGGCAAGTACGATGTGAAGCAGATGGGCACCAAGTACATGCTGGTTATTAGCAACGTGAACATGAACGATGCTGGCATCTACAGCCTGTCCGTGGGCGATAAGCGGATGAGTGCAGAGCTCACAGTGCTGGGTATGAGTGGGGGCATGCAAGGGCACAAGGAGGACATGTCGGGTTGGAAGAGAGGAATGGCCAGGGATGTGGTCCATGGGGATATTGAAGAGGACTATGGGACTATGCAAGAAAGGATTGTGTAGGGATGGGAGTCAATAGAGGGAGGAAGCATCAGATGTAAGGGAGAGGACTATGAGACAATAAGTACCTTGGGGCTGTGCAGCATAGTGATTAAGAACATAGACTGTAGGCCAGGCGTCGTGGCTCACACCTGTAATCCCAGCATTTTGGGAGGCTGAGGTGGGAGAACCGCTTGATGCCAAAAGTTCAAGACCAACCTGGGCAATATAGTGAAACCCTGTCTCTACAAAAATGAATAAATAATTGGCCAGGTATGGTGGCACACACCTGTAGTCCTAGCTACCCGGCAGGCTGAGGCTGCAGTGAGCCATGATCCTGCACTGCACTTTAGCCTGGGCGATGAAGCAAGACCCTGTCTCAAAAAAAAAAATAAGTTAAAAAAAAGAACACAGACTCTGGAGCTAAACTACTAGAGTTCAAATCCCAGTTTCTGCCACTTATGAGCTATGTGATTTAGGTCAAGTTATTTAACTTCTCTTTGATTCAGTTTCCCCATCTACAAAATGGGGAATAATGGAATCTACCTATATGATCATCAGATGAATTAATATGGCTACAATGGTGCCTGGAACATATCTAAAACCACAAAAGTGCTTTTAAAATTGCTGTTACCGTTACTGGGGAGAAGACCACGTGAACATCATAGGAGGGGACTCCAGGTGAGAAGGGCTCGAAAACAAAACCAAAGGAAGGGTGCTTCCCCCCAGCCATGGGCTACAGGAGGCCAGTGACACGTGAGTCCCCTCTTCACCATTCTACCCCTCACGAGGGACCAGCCCAATGACTGCCCCACCTGCTGTTTGCTGCAGATGAGCCACTGAAGTTCCTGGGAGAGATGAAGCCTCTGAAAGTGACAGAGCGCCAGACAGCTGTGTTTGAGGTCCGCCTCTCCAAGAAAGAGCCCAACTTTGTGTGGAAGTTCAATGGGAAGGAGCTGAAGAGGGATGACAAGTATGAAATCACAGTGTCCGAAGATGGTCTGACCCATACGCTTAAGATTAAGGATGCCAGACTCAGTGACAGCAGCGAGTTCTCTGCTGAGGCGGGGAACCTGGTGCAAAAGGCCCAGCTCACTATTGACCGTGAGTCGTTGGGCAACAGCCTAAGGGGTGGGCTTTGTGACACAGCAACCTCCATGCAGGTAGTCATCATTTATATATCCATCTATCCATCCATCTCCTCTTTGCAAAGCCCTGTGAGAGGTACTGGAAAGATAGAGGGATCTCCCCTCTGTTAACCCCTAGTCTAGTAGGGGAGGCAGGTATGAAAATGAAATTAGACTATCAGTTATTATTCCAAGAGTCAAGACACACTGGGATCTTACTATCGGCTGTGAGATCGTGGACCAAGAAAGTATTAGTCTATGTCTCTAATGTCATATATTACAGCACATCTGTGTCACTCTTGACTACTTACATTCTGCTATCACAACTACTTTGGGAATTCCCACATAATGTAGGTACACCAATGAGCATGTCATACATCTGAACCGCACCTGGAATCTGTATCACATGGAATCATCATTGCTGTGACGGAGGGAGTCACAAGGGCTGCAGAAGACCAAAGAAAAGTCATCACCTGGCAATGTCAGAAATAATATAATGAATGATGTCCAAGCTTTACCAAGAACTAAAAGGAGTTCCACTTTCAGAGAATGAGGGAGAGTAGAGAACATCCCCAGCAGAGTTAATAGCATGTATAAATGTCCAGACATTAGAGAGACAATGCAGGTATGGCTGGAGCTCCAAGGGGGCATTAGAGATAGTGAGAACTGTAAAAGTTCTCACCCCATTTTACATATGAGGAAACTGAGACTCAAGAGAGGTAAATGAGTTTTATATAGTCAACTAGCAAGACAGGGCCAGAGCTAGGACTCTCCCTGTCAGGTACTTCTGTGAGTCACATATTGCACACAAACACATTCAACATCACAAGTTCTTGTGTTTTCTGGGGCCAGAAGGAGGGACAGGGCTCATGGCTCTGTAGCTGCAGAAAAAAGATGTTGTGGTTTAGGAGCAGGCCCAAGTGTCTGTCCATCCACAGGCATCCCCATTAAATTTGAGAGCAACCTCAAAAATGTACGTGTGAAAGAGAGGAGCCGTGCATGCCTGGAGTGTGAACTGACATCCAAGGATGTGACACTGCGCTGGAAGAAGGATGGGCAGCTGCTGATGCATGGCACTAAGTACAGCATGAACCACGAGGGCAAGCGAGCAGAGCTGGTCATTGAGGATGCACAGCTCAGTGATGGTGGCGAGTACACCGTGGTGGCCATGCAGGATGGAGACCCTACTGAATACTACAGTACTGCCATCGTCACTGTAGAGGGTAACACCCGCCCTATCAATCCCCACTGACCAATCCACCTGACCCTGGCATTCCCTTACAGCGGACATCAATTGCCCCCTCCCACTAACTCCAACCCTCCCACAGACCATGACCAACTTGTGTCTCCCCACTCTGATCACCCTCACCTCCTAAATTCTGACCATCTCTGACCTCCCATGCCCTGAACATTTATACCTCCTAGACACTATCATCCCCCATCTTCCAGACTCTGTCCCAAATTTCCTGACTTCGTCCTTCACTTTCAGACTCTAACCATCCCCAGCAACCCTGATATCCCAGACATCTTGATCCCAACCATCTCCTACTACCTAACCATAAACCACTTTTCACAGACCCTGGACACCCTCAACCCCCAATGACCCTATGTATCCCACAGTCTAGCATAACCACAACTAAACATCCCAACTCCAGCGACCGCCTGCATCTTCACCATCTATTTCCCTCTTCAACCCAGCATCCTAAGTCCCTGCTGACCACCCTTCACTAATCAATGCCCCATTAGCCATCTCCCAGTTTTCCTGGTCACCATTTCCCAAGCCACTGACCTTTCCCCATCCCCCTCCCCCTCCCACCTATTGCTCCAGTTCCCCCCACTGACCATCCCCCAATGACCTATGGACCACAATGGCAAGCCACCTGCTCATCATAAATTATTTTGATTGACGCAGCACCCCTGACCAGTCCCATGACCATCGCCACCAGCCCTTTTCCCAGAAGTCCCTCCCACCCCAACATCCTGAGCCAGTACCTTGCCCACCTTTCTCCCCAGAGCGTCTGGCCACAGTGAAGAGCGGGATGTCCGACGTGCACGCAGCCACTGGGAGCCCGGCTGAGTTGTGTGTAGTGCTGAACGACGAGAAGGTGGAGGGTGTGTGGCTGAAGGATGGCAAGGAGGTCTGAAGCAGGGGCCAGGGAAGGGGGTGAAGGAGGTAGACCTATCCTATGCTCACACTCACGCCCACCCCTGGCCCCCAGATCACAGACTTGCCAGGCGTGCAGATTGTGAAGCAGGGTGCAGTGCACAAGCTCATCTTCCCCAGTATGGGCCCTGAGCACGAGGGCAAGTACACATTCCGGGCCAAGGGCGCGGAGAGTGAAGCCTCTGTATTCATCGCAGGTATGGATCTGTCCAAGGCAGGCAAAGCTCAACCACGCCTGGCCCACCCACAAGCTCATGGCTTCTCCCCTGCCCCATGGGCTCCTCCATGCCAATGCTCAAGCCTTCCCTGCCACCCCGCTCCACAGATCCTCCTACCATCGACCCGTCAGTACTGGAGGCACTGGCCGCACACCCCATCACCGTAAAGGTAGGCCACACGGCCCACATCAACGTCCCCTTCCGGGGAAAACCGCTGCCCAAAGTGACATGGTACAAGGATGGCATGGAGGTGACGGAGGAGGAACGCGTGTCCCTGCAGCGTGGGGAAGACCAGGCGCTGCTCACCATCTCCAACTGTGTGCGTGAAGACAGTGGCCTCGTCCTGCTTAAGCTCAAGAATGACCACGGCTCAGCCACAGCCACTCTGCACCTTAGTGTGCTGGGTAAGGGCAGGGCTGGTCTGGGCTGGGCTGAACTGAGGGCATCTGCTGCCCAGACTCAGGGCAGAAGGCAGGCTGAGGAGGATGCCAGAGATAGAGTTGAAGTTTGGGCTGGGAATGGGCCTAGAAGGCTGGCTTTGCAGTCAGAGCCTGCTTTCTAACTTCCCAGCTAGCTCTTGGCCGAGTGAACCTCCCTAAGCCTCAGCTTCTTACCTAGAACAGGGTGATTTTTTTTTCTAGTATCCATTTCTAGTGAATTTAAAGTGCACAGCTAAGAACACAGGACATAATATACTTTCAGATATGTTACTTAAGTATTGTTATTGACTTGAAGAGGAAAACTTGATAGGAGGTAAGGTGGAAATGAGGTGAAAGACAGGTGAAATTGGCCAGACACAGTGGCTCACGCCTATAATCCCAGCACTTTGGGGGTCCAAGGCAGGTGGATCACTTAAGGTCAGGAGCTCGAGGCCAGCCTGGTCAACATGGCAAAACCCGGTCTCTACTAAAAATACAAAAATTAGCCAAGCGTAGTGGCACACAGCTGTATTTCCAGCTACTCGGGAGGTTAAGGCACAAGAATTGCTTGAACCTGGGAGGCAGAGGTTGCAGTAAGCCAGGATCAGGCCACAACACTCCAGCCTGGGTGACAGAGCAAGACTCTGTCTCCAAAACAAACAAACAAAAAAAGCAACAACAACAAAAAAAGGGGTGGATTTAGGGTTGGAGGTGAGGTTGATTGGAAAGAGTAGTGAGTTTGAAAGTGAAACAGGGTGAGGTGGGAGGTCAGATACAGCTGGAGACAAAATAACGTGGGAAAGATGGAATGGGGATTGGGAATGGGATTTGGGATTTGTCTGAACATGAGGATATAAGGAAAGAGATAAGGAGCTGGCCTGAATGTACTTATATTCAACATGCCACATACACGCCATCACCACCTCCTCCACCTGCATTTCCATCGAGCTGTGGGATGGGAAAGTTTGAGTTTCAATTCAGCAGCAAGACTGAGCACCTCCTCTGTGTTCTCACTGCTGGCTACACAGAGATGAAGTATCTCCAGCAGTTCCTCAATCCAAAAGGGGTGAAACTGGTAGACAGACTGTAATTATAACATAAGGTAAACGGTGGTACTAGAAAGCACTGGCGTTCTCAAAGCTCAGAAGGGGAGAACTGGTCTGGAAGGGGACAGGGAGATCAGCTAAGGGCAGGGGACCCTAAGGTCTCTAGTCTACCCATTGCTAGGCAGATGGGAAACTCACGGGGGCAAGGATCAAACTGTTTGGGCAAGTCTTAGAAGGAGGGATGATGGACACAGGGAGGGGCAAAGGGTCCAAAAAGCTCAAAATCCAGCTATACCCTAGTCTGGGCAGACCTTTGATGAGTGGGAGGAGGCTCTTCTGATCCTTTGTTCCAACGCCCCATTCTGAAGCTGTTCTCTGTCCCCAGACCGTCCGAAGCCTCCACAGGGCCGGGTGGAGTTCCTGGAGCTCTCAGGTAGTTGTGTGCACATGAAGTGGAAGGCCCCAAAGGACAATGGTGGACGACCTGTGACACAGTTCATAGTGGAACGGAGGGCAGTTGGCAAGAAGTCCTGGATTAAGATAGGCGAGGTGGATGGCAAAGTCACCAACTTCTCCACCAACAAGGTGGAAGAGGGAAAAGCCTACCAGTTCCGTATCCTGGCAGTCAATTCAGAAGGTGTGAGTGACCCACTGGAGACGGAAGAAGTGTTTGCAGGAAATCCCATAGGTCAGTGAGATAGCCTGGTGCTCAGTGGGGAACCCAGGGATCAGCGTGGGGGCCTTCAGCCAGGGATGAACACTGTGGGGAATTCCACAGGAACATCTCTCTAGCTGTCTCATGAGACGGACTGATTCCAGAGTAAAAACAGAACATCATTTTGGGGAGGAATTCTCAACTTTGTCCAGTCATATCACATGCACAACACACTCCCATGGGTATACCCAGGACGTACACAACTTCAGGGAACTGACTCCACTTCTTTCTCCATCCCAGAAGTCATCCCAGAATCCAAGTGAGCATGATGTTGCTTTAGGGATAACCTTGAAACCACTCTAACTTTTTCCCCACAGAAAACCCTTGACAACATTGGCATTTTAATTATAATTACAGGCTGGGCACAGTGGCGCACACCTGTAATCCTAGCACTTTGGGAGGCCGAGGTGGGCGGATCACCTGAGGTCAGGAGTTCAAGACCAGCCTGGCCAACATGGTGAAACCCTGTCTCTACTAAAAATACAAAAATTAGCAGGGCGTGGTGGCAGGCTCCTGTAATCCCAGCTACTCAGGAGGCTGAGGCAAGAGAATTGCTTGAACCCGGGAGGCGGAGGTTGCAATGAGCCAAGATCGTGCCACTGCACTCCAGCCTCAGCAATAGAGTGAGACTTTGTCTCAAAAATAATAATATTATTATTACTGCAAGTTAATTACTTGCTATACCTCTCCCAACTGATCTCCAAATCTCGTGTCAGGACTGTAGATTGAGAATAATGGGATTGGGGGTCACACTGTGGAAAAGTTTAAGTCACTGATTCTCAATGTTGGCTATACATTAGAATCACTTGGTTTCTTTAATAATGCTAATAATACTTGCCATTCACACCAGGCATAGAATATGGGTAGGCGGGACCCAGACACTAGTTGTTGTTAGTAGGGTTTTTTTGTTTGTTTGTTTGTTTGTTTTGTTTTTTTTTTTGAGACGGAGTCTCGCGCTGTGTCACCCAGACTGGAGTGCAGTGGCGCGATCTCGGCTCACTGCAAGCTCCGCCTCCCAGGTTCACGCCATTCTCCTGCCTCAGCCTCCGAGTAGCTGGGACTACAGGCGCCCGCCACCACGCCCGGCTAGTTTTTTTTTGTATTTTTAGTAGAGACGGGGTTTCACCATGTTAGCCAGGATGGTCTCGATCTCCTGACCTCGTGATCCACCCGCCTCGGCCTCCCAAAGTGCTGGGATTACAGGCTTGAGCCACCGCGCCCGGCCGTTAGTAGGGTTTTTTTGTTTTGTTTTGTTTTCATTTTTGTTTTTACTTCCCACTTGATGCTAATGTGCAAGCAAAGTTAAGAATCATTTGTGCCAGGCATGGTGGCTCATGCGTGTAATCCCAGCACTTTGGAAGGCCGAGACAGGAGGATCACTTGAGCCCAAGAGTTCAAGATCATCCTGGGCAACACAGTGAGACCTTGTCTCTAAAACAGGAAAAAGAAAAAAGAATCACTGGTTTGAGTTTATTTAAGCAGGGGAGGCAGAAGTCAGCATGAGGTGGGCAACTATCTACATGCTCCCCTTCCTAACCTTTGTGCTCTCTCTGTCCCCCATAGAGCCTCCTGGTTTTGCCTCCCAGCCTCAAGTGACTGATGTGACTAAAGAGACTGTGACCATCACGTGGAATGTCCCTACCCAGGATGGGGGAGCCCCAGTGCTTGGCTACATTGTAGAACGAAGGAAGAAAGGCAGTAACCTGTGGGTGCCAGTCAACAGGGACCCCATCCAGGGTGAGGTCCCTGGGACAGAGGCCCAGGAGGGGCCAAAGGTGGTCTTGTTGAGTGGACCCATTAGCTGCTGACATAGTCCCTCCTCCAGCTCCTCTGGAATTTTTAACAACATCCCATGACCTCCTCTTCTATGTCTCTCACTCTTGTTCTCACCCCATGGATGCCTCTGGCCTCACGACCCCTCATCTTCCCATTTCAGGCACCAAGTGCACTGTGAATGGTCTCCTGGAGGATACAGAATATGAATTCCGAGTTATAGCTGTAAATAAGGCAGGCCCTGGACAGCCCAGTGTGCCATCCAGCTCAGTAGTGGTCAAGGATCCTGTTAGTGAGTATGGGGCTGCCAGGTCCTGACACATAATGGAATTAGCCCATTCAAAGTAGAGAAAGAATTTCTTCCCTGGGGAAGTATGACAGGCGGTACCACAGTCTCTACACTCCGGAAACTGCCAGTCTCATAGAGGGACAAGATTCACATGCAAGAGAAAGTCAGCAAATAAAGACTGAGAGTCAGGGACAGTGAGGAGGTGGGGTACAAAAACGTTTTTTAAATTTCGTGTATTTCTAGTTAGGTGAGGTAGGAGAGGCAAGCTGAGGGTTGAGTAAGGGTGTGAAGTAGATGGTTGGAGGGTGTTGCATTTAGGAAGCAAGGTGAGGGTACTGCCTGGAAGTGGATGTGGTGGAGATGGTTGGGTTAAAGGCTGGGGTTTTGAATATAGAAGCTTTGAATGTGTGGGGTATGTTGAATTTAAGGGGTATTGAGTTTAAGGATGAAAGTGTTGAAACAATAAGACAACTGAATTTGAATTTGGAGGTTGAGTGTATAAGGTTAGGTACTGAGGGTGTTAACTGCGGGATCTGGAGCTAGAAGTAGTGAAAGATGGGGTTCAGGAGTATTGAGTGGAGATGAGTTTGGGGGGGGGCGCTGACTACATGTCTGTTCTACCCCAGAACCCCCAGGCCTGGTCCAGGACCTGCATGTATCTGATTCCTCCAACTCCAGCATTTCCCTGGCCTGGCGGGAGCCTGCAGAGGGAGACCCACCCTCTGGCTACATCCTTGAGATGAGGACTGAAGACACAAAGGAGTGGTCCAAGTGCACAAAGATCCCCATCTCAGGCACCTGCTACACAGTGGGAGGACTCACCGAGAGGCAAAAATACTTCTTCCGAATCCGGGCTGTGAATGAGGCTGGGGTTGGGGAGCCTGTGGAGCTAGACAAGGGGGTCCGTGCCATGCCACCACCAGGTGAGGAGACAGAGAGGGCTGGGGATTCATGCCCAACATGGTACCTCCAAACCTTCTCCTCTGGGGCCTCATCCCACAGGAAAATTGGATGATGCTATGATCATGAAAAAGTCATCCATAGTTATTGTGCCTGGACAAAGTTAGGGGTAACTTCAGGGGCACCCCCACTAAAGCAATCATTGTGTGCCAAATAGCATCCACTGTGTGTCAAAGTATAACCACCCAATGGGTTCTTCTTGCCCATTGCACACACAAAACCGGTTCACTGAGACCACAGCATTGCAACAAAGAGTTTAATGGACACAAGGCCAGCCATGCCGTATGGGAGACGGAGTTATTACCCAAATCAACTCCCCGAAAATTCAGAGGCCAGGGAGCCTGCTTCTGAGTGGGACCACAGGACCGGTGGGGTGGGGGGCTCAGCAGGTCCAGGTGGAGCTATCAGTCGTCAGAAATGCAAAAACCTGAAAAGACATCTCAACGACCAATCTTAGGTTCTACAATAGTGATGTATTTGCAGGAGTAGCTGGGGAGTTGCAAATCTTGTGATCTCTGGAATAATGGCTGATAATCTTTTATGTCTACACCTTAGCAGAATTCAGGCTCCTCACATCCTCCTAACCTGGTGGCCTTTCATTAGCTTCACAAAGGTGATTTAGTTTGGGGGAAGGACTGTTATCATCTAAACTATAAACTTAAAAAATGTCTCTCCCAACGTTAGCTTGGTCTGAAACCAGGAATTATTAAGGGCAGTTTGGAGGTTAAAGGTAAGATGGGGGTTGGTTAGATCAGATCTCTTTCACTGTCATAATTTTCTCACTGTTATAATTGTTGCAATGGCAGTTTCAAAAAGAGGTGTTAAGAATATAGAAACAAGACACAGGACTTGCCTTCCAGGGTCTTGCATACTAGTAGAAGGAGACAGATAAGAAAACAAATAAATGTTTCAGTGTTACAGGGCAGCTAGATGTCCGTATGGCCTGTAGTGGGGGCATAAAAGAGGAGAGGTTGGGAAGGCTTTGATGAGGAGGCTTAAAGCAGAGTCTTCTTGAAAGAGAGATCCATGCCTCCACCTCTGTCTCCTCCATCTCAGCTGCACCCAAGTTTGACCTCAGTGCCCGGCTGAAGAGTCACATGGTGGTTCGCACTGGGACAGCCCTCTGCATCCATGCAGCCTTCTCCGTGAGTTGTCCCTGACCCTGACCTCCATACACTCTCCAATAACCAAAATGGCTATTGTAGCCATCACAGTCTCTGACTCTGACTCTGCCCCTCACCAGACCTCTAGTGCGACAGCCTGGCGGGAAACTCCTCGACAATGGAGGAAGGCCTGCCCCCAAATATCATCTGCGTGACCAATTGTGCCATCTCCTGTCACTACTCAGGGCTCACCACCACCTGACGTGATCTGGCAGAAAGATGGTGTTCCCACCAAGGGCCGAGAAACAATTACCAAGAGCAAAAACCACTCCCAGTTCCTCATCAATAGCGCCAAGCGCTCTGACTCAGGGGTGTACCGAATCTTGCTTCAGAATGAGTTTGGAGAAGCACACTATGATATCCATGTGCGCGTAGCAGGTATGGAGAGAAGGCAGAGGCCTCCAGGACCCATCCCTGCACACTCTCCAAAGTACAGCTCCCCAGTGCCGCTTGAGTTCCTACCACAGGAAAGTTGTGCCTTAGGGTCATGAAGATTTCTTTGACAACCCAGAGCAAAACTTTATCATACAGAGTATGGTCAGCAGAGAGAGTAGAAATGAGTGAGGGGCAGGAGGGACAAATGGAGATGAATCCATTAAAAATTGGGGTGACCGCTTAAAGGGAGCTGGGAGCTTTAAAATAAAGCTCTAAACCCCCAAGGAAGGAATGGATTCACTTTTACTGAACAGTAACTACATGCCAGGCTCTTTACCCACTATTTCTATGAAATAGTCATTGTTAGCTCTATTTTGCAACTGAGGAAAGAAGTTTCAGATAAGTAACTTACCCCAGGTCACAAGGCTAGTAAATGGCAAAGCAGACTTCAGAAATAGTTCTCCGACTCCAAGACACCAGCTGCCCAAGACTTGCCCCATCTTATCTACCATCGGACTTGGCAGATGGCTGGGTTGGGGACACAATACTTCAGGTCCCCCAAGGTCGCTGACAGATCTTCCAACTCTTCCAGATTTCCCTCGGCCCCCCACAAACCTACGGTTGTTTGAGGAAGTCCCCAACACAGTGACTCTGACCTGGAACCACAGCCCAGATGTGCAGGAGGACGGTGAGGCTCACTATGTCATCATGAAGCGGGATGCAAGCACCGCCACCTGGTACACGGCAGCCGAGCGTGTCTTCAGCAACAAGTACACAGTGACCGGGCTGCTCCCAGGCAGGAAGTATTACTTCAGAGTGGTGGCTCGGAATGAAATCGGTGACAGTGAGCCACTTGACTCCAAGGACACCTGGCTCATCAATAAAGACCAGAGTAAGTCTGGGTGCCCTGATGGTGGGGATGACATAAGGATCGCAAAGGGTACCCAAGAGGCAGGATAAAATCCGAAAACCATTGAGATAGAACGGTTAATATCTGGGACACTGCGGAGAGAAGGAAATGTTGGCTTTCTTCGGGATACTTAGGGGTGAGACTAAAGTGGAGGTGGGGAGGTACCTTTGGGGGCGGAGACGACGGTGGAGGGGCTGCGGAGGGACTTAGAGCGCAGACTTAGACTGCGTTCTGCTGAGGGGAGGGTCTAACCGGGCAGAGAACAGGGGAGGGCTCTAGGGAGCCAGGAGGATGGCTGGGATCCCTGGAGACTAGGGGTTAAGGGTGGGGGCCGCATCGGGAAACTCCAACTGAGGAGCTAAAGGGGTAAGACGGGAGACTGTGGACGCTGATATGACGTAGGGGAAGCTTGGAGGCGGAGTTAAAGGCTGGGAATAACAGGGTCCAGGAAGCTGGTGCTGGAATGACATCTTGGTCCCGGGTGTATGGGAAAGTATGGCTTGGGTGGCAGAACCCTGGAGTGGCTGGGGACGGGGCTGGGAGGTCCGGGGGAGGTCTGGGGGCTGGTGGGGAGCCCTTAGGAACCAGTGTAACATTGGGCCCCCAGAGTTAGTGGCGCTGGGAATCTGGCCTAGGTCCTCGGGGTTTCGTGTAAGCTGAGCTCTAAGATGTGGGTGGTGGGTGGGGGCCTTGGGGCGCGCTCACGGCCGGCCCCGCCCCGCCCCGCCCCGCCCGCGCAGTCGAAGACCTGAGTGCCAAGCTCAAGCCCTACGAGAAGAAGGACTGGCGCCAGGCACCGCGCTTCCTGACGCCCCTCAAGCCACACACGGTGCTCCGCGGCCAGGACTGCACAATGACCTGCGCCTTCCTTGGGAACCCGCGACCCACAGTGACCCTTTACAAGGGCGACGTCAACATAACAGCCAACTCGAAGTTCTGGTACAACTCCACCAGCGGCGTGTGCACCCTCGTCATCCCCACCTGCACGCTCAAGGACAGCGGCGATTACAGCGTGCTGGTGGAGAACGAGCTGGGCAAGGACTACAGCAGTTGCATGCTCACCGTCTATGGTGAGGGCGCCACGGGGTCCAGCCTCGGGGAGGGGGAGAGGCGCAAAAGGCTGGTCTTGTGGGCCATTGGTCAGCTCTTTTTTTGGCTGGCACCGTTTTTTGACCTGACTACCAGCAGGTGGTGCAAACATTCTTAGTTGGCCACAGTTCTTACCACTCTCCCATCCTTTCGATGTCATTTGTTATATGCCTGGTCCCTGCAGACATGAGAGTTCTCAATCCCTAGATAAGATGTGGTTTGCAACTCTTGGTGAGCCTAGACCTGCCTTCAAAAAAAAGATACTCGTGATCAGGATTCAACCAGACTCACCAATCACGATCTCTCTGGCAGGGTTCTGGAAATAACCTTTATGTTTACAAAATTTTGCGGGTGATTCTGATGTGCAATCAAAATTAAAACTGGTCTAGGATAAGGGCAGGTGGGGGGCACAAACAAGGGGAGGAGCGAAGGGAACCCGCCCTTTTGTACATGCATGCCATGTTTCTACTCATGTGTGCACACATGGGGGAAGCATTTTATTCCTTCCCAGTCTACTGTCTTCATAGCCACACAGCTAGCAGCATGAACTCTAAATGCAAAGCTGGCCTGCCTTGCTGTTGCTTAAATTTCCCCCGGCTTTCCTTTCATGGTAAAATCCCAAACCAACAAGGTTTCCCCCTCCCCCACCTCTCATCTCATCTTCTGCTACTCCTGAACCTTCCATGACACTCCATTGCTGTGGTCTCCATGGTTACAAACCTTTTTTTGTCCAGTTATAGATACCTTTCTTTGGGGAAAGGACCTTGTCATGTTGCTCTGTCTCTTGAGTGCTTAGCTAAGTGTCTGGCACTGAGACAATATCTCCAGAGAGGCTGCTGAGCTGTGTAAAAGAACTAGGCCAGGGAAGGCACTGTGGGCGCTATCCAGCTTTCATTCCACAGCTAAAGAGATCCCTGATAACTCAACTCTGGTTGTAAGCACAGCATGTGGGCCCAGGGCCTTGGCTCTGCCACTGACCAGCCATGTGACCTTAGCAAGCTACCTCATTGAGCCTGTTTTCTCATCTTCTTTATAGGACTGTGAGGTTTAAATGAGATAGTACAGAATTGCCTGGCACAATGTCTGGCAAATATTAACTGCTAGATAAATGGCAGCTCTCGCCCCTTCCGCTCTGCCAACCCAAGATTAAGGGTCCCAGGGTCCAGCTCCTGGTTTCCTGCATAGGAAGTCCAGCAGTTTGGAATTTCCCTGGTCCCCAGCATCATTAATATAATGAATACTTGCTTTGCTCTTTCAGACAAAGATGATAAGTCAATTGTAGCATCCATCACCGAGAGTCTGCAGAAGAAATCAAAGCACCTTATGTGAGCTCCAGCCCAGTCCAGGCATCAGGAGGCTGTTACGATGTGGAGCTTCTTGGCCGGTCCTCTGCATGGCCTGGTGTAGGAAGCCCAGTTTGCTCTCTGGTGTTTGTCAATGTAAACATTCAGTGAAGGGATGGGGCAATAAACTAAATTCATCCTTTCCTGTTCCTGAGGGTGGTATACAGCAGGGACCAAGGGGATGGATGTGATTGCATGATGGGGAATCCCAGACCTGGACCCCTGAAAGCCTAGTCCAAACCCACCCACAAGGCAGTGACCAGCCTTCCTGTGACTGGGCCTAGACTTCCCTTCCCCTCCTCCACATCCACATGGCACCTTATCCCTCCCCTCAGAGCTTGGAGGCAAGTCCTGCTGACTTCATCCTTCTCCCCATCCTGCTCTCTCCCATTTCTTCACACTAGGTAGGTCTGTGTTCAGAGTTCTGAAGTTTGAAAGGATCAAGATCTTCCCTCTTTAGTATCCAGGGTTCAGAGCTAGAAAGGATCGATCATCCAGCTCACTAAGTTTCAAACTTACGTTTTTCAGTGGACTCCTTCCACAACAAAACAAAACAAAAAAACGCAACCTAAGAAGCTACTGGACTTGAAATAAGGATAGGGGGTCTTTGAGCCTGCCTTCTCTCATTATTCCTTCGCTAACCCCTTACCAGGAATCTCTGCAAAAACTAATTTGGAAATCACTGATTCATCCAACCACCCATGACACTTGAGTCTCCTAAATCACATTCCCACAAATGTGCAACACCTCTACTGATGGCATATCCACCACCACCGAAGGCTTCCCTTTCCACTTCTGGGTTAGGGCATTGCCTGTTAAGTTGCAAATGCTCCTGGAGCAGAGTGACACATTATTCTGCCAGGGCTTTACATCTAATGAATGAATCAGTCAATCTAATCCCATTGCTCCCAGCTGTTCAACTAAGCCCAGAGTCCAAGATGAGGGAGATGCTTGAAGGGAATCTGGATCATTTTGAAGGAAGCAGCAGGTCTCGAGTCGGGAGGGGAGGAGGTGGGCAGCAATAGGTGACACTGGATAACTAAAGGTCACCAAGGGTGCTGGGCACCTGTGCACAGGGGAGTACAACAAGGACAAATTTGGACAGTGACAAATACCACCCATCCCCCATCCTCCTAAACCACATCCTCACCTACACCAGGGAAGTGAGACACACTCCAACCAGCACAGTGTCACCAGAGCCAGGGAGCCAGCCTGGCACCAAGATGCACTGCCCAGGACTGTGACTAGGCTGTGAGGACAGCCAGAGCCCCTGGCACCATGCCCCCATGCCCTCTCCAAGATAGGCATGTGCCACACAGGCCCACAAGCAGAGCAGCCAATGGCTCTTGATTTTTATTTTTTTTCACACGGGCAGCAGAAGATGGAGTTGTCCCATCCTTGCTCCCCTTGCATTGAATGTGCCTTGGGTCTTAAAACCCCAGAGTGTCATTGCAGCCCCCTCCTCTTGCTCCTAGTGTAGGAGGGGCAAGGAGGAAAGCCCTGTGAGTATGTGTGTTGGAGGGGAGAGGTCCCAGCTCCCTGAGCCAGGCTCAGCACCCCTCAGCAGCTCCCTGAGGCCCTCTCTCTGTGAGACTTTTGACAGACAGACAGCAGGACAGAAACATATAGCAGAGAAAGACATAGGCAGACTAGGAGACAGGCTACACACACACACACACACAGAGAAGTTGGCCCCCTCCTTTGGCATGGTTCACCCTAGCCCTGGGGACAGGATCTAAGGGTGGTATATGGGACCTGAGCTTTGGGCTTGCCTGAGAGAGAGATGGGGCCACTTGAATTCTTGAGACCCCAAGCTCCGAGACCAAAAAAGTTCTCTCTCCTGCCTAGCCTGGATCCACACCTCTTCATATCCCCACCCACCACTTAGAAATTGAGATTGTTCAAGTAACAAGGATAGAAGAGGGAAAAGGGAGGCTCCACTCTCATCCAGTCTTCCCAACTAGGGGCCTGTGAAAGGGGCTCCTGGGTCTAAGTCTTCTCAGCACAGATTCTCCCATTTCCCTCAACTCTGTGCAGATGAAAAAGGGGAGGAGTGGACGAACCACTGCCATTGGTCCTAGGCATAACACATGGAGTCAGACTCTTCCACCTGGTAGGGGAAGGGGGTGTGTCAAAAAGCTGAGCACCATCACCTTCCAGGAGGGCTTTTGAAAGTCCTGATGGGGTAGAGGTGGGGAGATGTCTACTTCTGGCTCCAGTCAGGGATTAGGCTGGCTCTTTTAGCTCTCAGCATTGTCCTGGACCACGAGTTCCACTAGGGAGATCCTTTTCCAGCCTCCCCACTCAAACTTGCAAATTCCTCAGGCAGAACCTGCTGCCCCAGGATGGCACTGCAGCCATCCTGATCCAGCTCCTGCAGCTTCCCAGGATCTGGGCCCCAGCCCCAGGAGGAGAGAGGGGTGACCGGACCCTGGCACCTCAGTTGGCCTTGCTCAGTCTGTAGTGTTCCACAGGCTCCCGGCTTTCGACAGCTGACAGGGCGACGAGCATTTGAGCCGCATAGTAGGTGGACATGATGAGCGCCCGAGAGTAGGGCACAGGAAAACAGAATTTGTTGAGGGCGATGGTCAGGTCTGAGATCATAAAGAAGAGTGCACCACTGCCAGCTGCCAACTCTGTCCAGCGCCAGTCTGCCCCGGCCAGCCGCAGCCCTGCCATAGCTCGCCAGCCCATGAAGCCGATAAGGGCCACATAGACCCCCACCAGGTAGGTGAAGGCACCTGAGAGGCACGGGTAGAGGAGGGCATAACACAGACCAGACAGCACTGCCATCACCAGACCTGTCCGAAGAGCCAGTGGCCGCATGCCAAAGGCTGAGGCGTAGAACATGTGGGTCACAGCAAACATCAGCAGACCTGGGGGTAAGAGGGGCGAAGGCAGCTGAGGGCAAGCTTGATGAAGAATGAGTAACAGGGTGGGGGTAGGGATGGAGTGGAGTGTTTGGGATAACCCAGCAGCTTTGCTTTGGGATAACAGGGGTAGGAAAATCTAAAGTTAAAGACCCCCACCCCAGTCCCCTGAAGGACTCTGGAACTGATCACTAGTTCCCCTGCGAGGTCATCCCCTAACAGGGACCCTCACAGTCCCTGGTCTCAGAAACCCTCAGGCTCCCCATACTCTGGTTCAAGAACTCCCTCTTCCAAATCTTTGCCCACAGCCCCAGGACCCCTCTATCCCCAAGCCTAAGGACTCCTCCCAGGCAACTACTATGGCCACTGACCATGCACGAAGTATCCTTGGTCCTGCCAGATGAGGAAGGCGTCACCTACAGCAGAGAAGACAAGCCCCACAAAGATGCGGGTGGCACTAGGGTGGGCCAGCAGGAATCCCAGGCCATGGGCCAGAAGGAAGAGCCAGAGACAGAAGATGGGCAGGCATTTGATGAGGGTGCTGACCCACGACGGGCTAGATGAGGGCAGCCAGAGCACGAAATACACGCAGGTGGCCTTGAAGAACGGCACCAGTTTGGGTCCTTCACTCTTCACCTGGAGGACACAGGACAAGGGCAGCACTCAGAACCTGGGGGCTTAAAGCCAGCATTCTCAGCCTAGGCATCCACCCAGAGACACTCCCACCCATACCCCTACCTCACTTCCACCCCCAACCTGAGAAGACTACACAGAGAAACCCCGCCTGACCTGCCTCTACCAACCAGCAGGTTGTGGCCAAACCCATCACTGCCCTGAGGCTCAGTATACTAGGAGGGGGAAGGGCTCCACTGTCCTTGCTGTCTGCCTCCACTCTTGGCCCTGGGGCTGGGCCGGAATAGTCACTCACTGGGCAGCAAACAAACTTTGGAATAATGTCCCCTTCGGCAGCCTAATGTGCTTCTCCCTTCCTGCCCCCTCCTTCTCCCTCCTCAGGGCCCCTTTGGCCCCCCTCTCTGCCAGCAACAGCCCCCAGCTGTCTGGAATGGAGTGAAGTCAGTAGGAAACCACAGAGACGCCCTGACTGGCCAACTCGTGATCCTCAGCATGGGGCCAGGGTGCAGCCTTAGGGCCCTGGCAACACCAGGTGTGTGCCAGGAATGTGGGAAGGCAGGCAATGCCAACCACCTCAGCCACCACAGCCTCTCTCTCCTCAATCAATCTGTTCCTCAGCCTCCACTCCACCTGCCCCAGCCTGAAGGTGGCATCAAGGGCAAGGAGAGCTATGCTAGGGATGCTGGCTAGACAAATGGACCCATGAGTTGGGAGCAAGAAAATTGTCCCTCAAACACCAAATATTTCAAGGATTGGGGGAAGGGAGGGTGTGTGTCAGTCAGTCTCATTTCCCAGAGAACAAGAACAACTCAAGCCACACCAGAAAGAGGCAGGAAAGGGGGGAGGGGTTCTCTTCCCAGCTTCTGATCTGGAGCCAGCAGACAGGCTGGGAGATGGGGAACTGAGAGGGGGAAGTTAGAGCAGCTGACTTGGTCTCAGCCGGATTAGCAGAGGGCAGCTAAAGAAAGGTTGTCCCCAAGGCCACTGCAGGCAGAGTCCAAGCTGGGGGAGGGGGCTGCATCGATATTCGGAATCTGTGATCCTTGAAACTCCCTTCCTTGGGCTGCTAACAGATTCCTTGAGGGTGATATGGAGCAGCTGGGGTTCCCTGTACACCCACACTCTGCCCAAAGTGATTGTGTCTCTGGCTAAGTGAGCTATCCAACACAGGACTTGGGAAACACTCAGACTCCCAGACCACCAGGTACTTAAGGACTAATCAGACTGTGATGATGAGGATTGGGAAGAGGCAGATGGGTGGGTCCAGGTTCCAAGCCTTTCCTTGTTCTGCCAGAGGTAAGAGCAGTGAGAAGAGATGACTTCCACTTCCCATGGAAATTAAGGCTGGTCAGGGTAGGGGCATGGTCAGGGTAGGGGCATGGTCAGAGGAGGAGGCTGGAGGGGATGCCCAGGCCCACAATGCCCAACAACTACCTGCCAGCCCCTGGGAGCATTAACCTCCGCTCCATGGCCTCTCCCAGCCCCATATTTTCTAGAAGGAGATACCAGCAGTAGCTGGGGAGACTCTTACAGTTATAGGGAAGCCAATAGTAGAATAAGGAGGATGGGGAGACGAGACAAAAGGCTCGAGCTGAGAAAGTCTGAAAAGCAGGGGATGTCAGAGAGAATGCCCCCTTTTCCTCCAGCGCGTTATCAGCGCTCCTTAGACTCAGGGGCGTCCGCCAACTTGTTTACAAAATGGGGAAGGTTAGGAAACAAACTTGGGACGGCATTCCCAGGAGGTCCCCGTCATCCTCCCAGCACTCCCCGCCCCCACGCCTCCCAGTGGTCCGCCTACGCAGAACCCGGCGGCCGCCAGCGGTCCCCTCCCTCTCCCGGGCCCCGACCCCGCCGACCGGCGCCAAATACGTGGAGATCAACAAAGTCACGCTTCCGAGTCACGTGGCCAGTGTTTTCCTCCCTCCCGCGGGCGGGCTGGGGGCGAGCAAGGAGGGGCGCCGCGAGTCTGAGGAGCGGGGGACCGTGACAGCGCCCGCCTCCCGCCGGGGAACGCCGGCCGCCGCGGGACCACCGCCCCGCCTCGGCCCCTAGCAGCTCGGCCTGCCGAAGTCCGGTGGCCAGGCCGGTGGGCTCCAGCCGCGCCGGGCACTGGCTCGCTCGCTCGCTCACTCACCACAGTGACCGGGGACACCATGGCGGGGGCGGCGGCGGCGGCGGCTGGCACCCCGCTCCCGGCTGCAGCGGCCAGGACGCGCCCACGGCCAGGTGAGCCGGCGACGACTCTCCAAAGTGCGGAGGGACGGACAATACCTCCCGAGCGCCAGGCGCCCGGGTTCTGTCAGCTAGCCCCGTGACGTCACCGCGGCCAGGGCCAATGAGCGGGCGGGAGCCCGGGGGGCGGGGCCCGGCTGGCGGCGCCGGCCAGGCCCCCGGCTGCTGCTCGGAGAAACGAAGCATCTCCCAGGGGTCAGAAGGCGGGGACCCCCAGGCCCCGCCCCCTTGGGAGGCCGTGCCAAGGCGTCCACGGAACGTGAACGTGACCGTGATCCCAGTGCCTGGGTGAGGACTGAGGTTGGCTCAGAGACAAACACATTGCTGTCCTGGACGCACAGCCACATACATTTTCTCATAACCCAGGAGCAAAAGGCAAAGACAGATTCCCTTAAGCCTTTAAACATGCAGTCCAGCGCCGATACAATTGCAACTGGACCCACAACCTTCATTGTATACAAACACACATCCAAATCATCAGTGAACACAAAACATTCGACTTGAAAAGCGGCACGTATATAGGTATGCAGCAGCCATGGACCCATAATCGTAGCATATACATCATACATACAGAATCATATTTACCCTTAAGCACTCAACAAGTACATAGATCCAAAACCAATAACCACAAATTGGCATATATTCTCCAAGTAAGAATAGAGACATATACAGGGGCTCTACAGCAGCTCGTAGACCCATGACCCCAATATAGAAACAAACACAGATAATTGCCCTTAGGCACACACCTCTTACAACTCAGAGACAACTGCCACACATACAAGAGCACCCCAAGAATGACAGACAGGTAGACCTGAGTATACTTAAGGACCCAAAGAAGCGTGAGCCAACTTTGCCAAAAATACGTCCCAAGTTGATTTAATGTTGATTTTACGTAGACTAAACGAACACAAGCTCATTCTGAGCCGTGCATGTTCAGAATCATTGGAATTACATGGATGGAGAGGTAGGTGGCCAGATGGACTGAAATCTAGTCCCAGTTTTGCCACTTCCATGCTGTTAGATTGGGTGAATCACTTCCCCTCTCTGGTCTTGATTTCCTCGCTTAGAAGATGAGCGGGTGAGTTCTAAGGTTCCACCCAATTCTGACATGTATAGGATGGGGAAGAGGAAGGCCTGCTGGTTTTAGGAAATTTAAGTCTAGCAATCCTGGAGATGGAGATTTCAGCTATATCTCAAAGGATGGACAAGTGGTCTGTAATCTGCTGTAGAAGGGCAGTAGCTGTGTGTCAGGCTTTGGGAATTGATGGGAAAGGGGTGACCAGCCCTAATTAGCAGCCATAAAGGAGTTTCAAACATCCTTGCATGGTGACACAGGCCCTTGTGCTGGTCCTGAGCCTTGTGCTGTTTGGGCAGAGACCCACAGGCTGAAGGCTCCTGTAGGCCCCTCCCACAATGGGGTCTCTTCCTTTGTCTTCTGGATCCTACCCAGTTTTCCCTAAAGTCCCAACACCCATTCAGAGGGGTGATAGTCCTCTTCTGGTGATGAAATTAGCAACCAGAGCTTCAGAGCCCAGTACAACAAGAGTGAGAGTCAAGGCTTGGAACAGGGGTCACCCAGATCTTCCCCTCATCCCCTCCAGTCCCCTCCAGCATGGAATTCTAAGAGTCAATGACCTCTGCCTACTCCGCTTTCTTTCCAGTTAGGGGCTTCAGGGAGAGCACCTTACCATAATGAAGGACTAGAACTGCTGCCCCAGGGCTTTGTCATACACACACACACACACACACACACACACACACACACATTTCTACAAAGTGTGCTGCCTAGCGAGGACACTGGCTTGAGAGTTAGAAATGCCATTCTTAGCCCTAGTGCTTCCTTCTCCGTGACTCACTACTGTGGTTGTATAATTGAGCACATCATTCCATCTTTGGAGCTTCAGTTTTTTTTCATGAATAAAATGGAGGAAATGGGCTAGTAGAAGGTGCAAATATCCCTGTTTTCCAGCCAAACCCTCTAACATCACCTGAGGGATAGTTCTCAAACAGAAATTGCCAAGTCAGGGCATTTTTCATTTCTCTAGACCTTAGTTTGCCTCTCTATAAAAATGAGAAGGTGGATTATATCTGTGGTTCCTAACAAGAGGTACCTACCCAAGAGGTACAAATCACTTGGGAAGCTTTTAAAAACTTAGATGCCCTTGCCCCACCCAAGACCTACTAATTAGTGGCACAAGTTTTAAGAAGCTTGCACACACAAATACCTAACGATACAAAACATGAGACTCAGAACTCCCATCTACAGGGTTCCACTCAGTGCTTGATTACCCAGTAGGCAAACTAATCATATTCACAGGTCACCTACAAAGCGGAGGCATCTACCCTCAATGCCGGTTTTTCTCCATTTGCCCTCCCACCACCTAGATTCATTCTTGGCTCTTCTCTACCCTGTTCTGGGAGCCTGACTCTATGGACTCTATCTGCAGGGATCACCAGGGCCCTGGCTTCTGGTTGGGTTCAGCCAGTGAAATTCAGAGGCAGGAGAGGAGAGCATGGATGAGTCCTGATGGACCAGACTGAGATTCTGGCTGTGGCCTTGCTTCTCCATGGCTACAGCCCCAGGCTCCCTCCCTATACCTTCAGGCCAGGGGTGGCAACAGTTTCCTGCTGTTGCTAGTCTTTTTGAAAAGCGGCTTTTTTTTTGATACAGGGTCTCGCTCTGTCACCCAGGCTGCCGTGCAGTGGTGTCATCTATGCTCACTGCAACCTCTGCCTCCTCGGTTCAAGCGATTCTCCTGCCTCAGCTTCCCGAGTAGCTGGGATTACAGGCGTGTGCCACCACGCCCAGCTAATTTTGTATTTTTAGTAGAGATGGGGTTTCACCATGTTGGTCAGGCTGGTCTCGAACTCCTGACCTCAGGTGATCCACCCGCCTCAGCCTCCCAAAGTACTGGGATTACAGACATGAGCCACCATGCCCAATGCTATTGCTAGTCTTTAGATGCCTCCTCACCCATGGCTAGTTTCATCTCTGCAAATAGTCATTAACTTCTCTTCACTTAAATTATTGAGTGTGCCAGCACCCTGGCTGATATAGGTGCCCACAAAGCAGAGGCACCACCCTTTTCCCAAAGAGTTTATTCTGACTTCATTCGCATGGTTGAGATTTGTTGTTTCAAAAATAAATTTTTATTTACTATTTACTAGTGTTTACTATTTACTAGTGTTTTTATTTTGAATTGCATATTGCAGGAGGCGAAAAGTGGGATATGGCTGCCTGAAAATGGGCATTTCTTCCTTTTGGTAGCAACTGGCATTTCTTCCTTTCCAACCTATTAGCATGGCCCTTTTCACACAGCATTGTAATTTTCCCTGTGCTTGTGAGCCCGTTCACTCACTCATTCATCCAACAAGTGTTTACAGTGCACCTAATACGTGCTAGCCACTGTATTAGGTGCGGGGGTGTAAAATATTGAGTAAAATATATTCTCTATCCTTATGGAGCTTACAGTTCATTTCAGACAGGCAAGTAAACAATTACGCAATGTGGCAGCTGACCTAACGAAGTATGAAGGTGTCACAGGTGGCATTAAAAAAGACATCAGAATTATAAATTGCACCTGGAGCAATTGCAGAAGCTAGAGTTAAATCTAGAACGAGTCAGTCTTTATTGAGCAGACACCAATGGACATGCCATTCTAGGCAGAAGGAATTGCATGTGTACATAAAAGCACAAGAGACACACTGAATTCAGGGAAATACCTGTAGTACTGATTCGAGCTGGGGAGTGAGAAGGTGAAACTGAAGAAGCATGAGCCAATTCAGGTCTTGAAGGTTCTATTCAGCCAGGCGCAGTGGCTCATGCCTGTAATCCCAGCACTTTCGGAGACCAAGGTGGGCGGATCACCTGAGGTCAGGAGTTCGAGACGAGCCTGGCCAACATGATGAAACCCTGTCTCTACTAAAAATTTAGAAAAAAAAAAATTAGCTGGGCATGGTGGTGAGCACCTGTAATCCCAGCTACTTGGTTCAAGGAGAATCGCTTGAACCCAGGAAGCAGAGGTTTCAGTGAGCTGAGATTGTGCCACTGCACTCCAGCCTGGGCAATAAGAAGGAAACTCTGTCTCAAAATAAATAAATAAATAAATATGAAACTTCTACTAAGAAGTTTAGACTTGATGTAGTAGATGACCCTAAACCAATTGTCCTCTGTTCCTTAGCATCTCTAATTGTGCCCGCTGTCACCCACCAGAGACATGGGCAAGGCACAGACATGATGACGCATCATCATTCTGGGCTTGCCTCACTTCCCCCATGGGGCTTCTTCTCACCCAGTGCTCTCCTTCATCTCTGACCCCTGTTGTTTTGCCACAGGATATTTTCCTCACTTAGTTTGTCCTGCTTGAAATCATAATCCAGTCCTAAACTGGTTATCTTATTCCCGACCTGATGCTGGATCTCAGCTAATTTCTTTTCTGTTCCAGGCCTCCAGAGCACTTTTTTCTTTTTTTTTTTTGGAGACAGAGTCTCACTCTGTCGCCCAGGCTAGAGTGCAGTGGCGCGATCTCGGCTCACTGCCGCCTCCCAGGTTCACGCCATTCTCCTATCTCAGCCTCCCGAGTAGCTGGGACTACAGGCGCCCACCACCACGCCCGGCTAATTTTTTGTATTTTTAGTAGAGATGGGGTTTCACCATGCTAGCCAGGATGGTCTCGATCTCCTGACCTCATAATCCACCCGCCTTGGCCTCCCAAAGTGCTGGAATTTCAGGCGTGAGCCACTATGCCTGGCCTCCAGAGCACTTTTAACCAACTCTCAGGGTCACCACCCAAACCCGATTCTACCCCCACTGCACCTGTAGATATGGTGAAGAAATCAGAGATGTTAAGGAGGGTGTGACAAGTTCAGATGTTCTGATAACAGTGTGAGGGCGTCAGTTGTTGAGTTGTTAGGAGTGAGCTGAATGTGTGTCAGCCAAGTGGAGAATGTTTGGGTGGAACTGGATACAAAACTAGGGCTTGGGTTCACAGGGAAGATTTGGAAGTCTCAACCATACTGAAAGTCTGTGGATGTGATGAACCAGAGAGGAGCCTTGAGGGAGTAGAGAAGAGGACT